TTTTTTTTTTTTTTTTTAGAATACTTCTGTTTATAGAAAACCAAATTTTCTCAAGTTACTGCTTCTGCTGTAGGTTGTAGAACATAAGAAAATGGGCATTATCATTGTTTTTGCATAAACCTATTAAAAAATAGGAGTTTTTTACCTCCCTCCCTTTTAGTACTGCTACTGAAGTCTAGCATGTGTTTGATTAGAATGAAGTGTACAAGGAAGTTAGTACGCTTTCTTCCTTCACTTGTGCTCTGGAATGGGTTGTGAACACCTTCCTAAATTAAATTATTTTACTTTATTTCCCTTGACAGTTAGGCAGAAGAAACAAAGAGAGATTAGCAGGGGAAAGATGAGATTAAAAAAGAGGTGATGGAAAAGAAGTTTAAAAAGAAAAGTAGAAGTAATTGTTCTTTTAAATTACAACATTACTTGGCTTCTTTAAAAAAAAAGAAAAAGGGAACAAAACTTTCTTAGAAGCCATAGCAAAAGAAAATATAGCAAGGAAAATGGGTCTCATTATGTAGGTCTAATTTTCAAGCTTGTTTTGAAAATGTGTTTTCGGCTGTTTTTTGTGATCTCTGTTTTTGGTTTTTTTCTGAGACACTGTGGTAAGGATAGAGGTAAAAATTTCTCCTGAAACTCCATTCTACTTATGGAGATATTTTTTTAACAGAGGCTTGTTAATGGTGGCTACTTTTGTATCAGTGCCTAAGATACAAAATCATCATGACAATGCTAGGAAAGCTAAACAGATCAGGTAGTCAGGCAAAAATGAGGACAATGGTCAGACAGTACATGATGCATTACATTAGTAGGTTCTGTATACTTGGTCAGAGTCCTTGTTTGACTGAAACTCGTTTCAGCTCAGAGGTTATTAGTAATTAAAATTACTTTGTACTCTAACCCTGCATGGGATAATCAGATATATTTCACTCTGATGCAGATCCTTAGAGTGCTCCCACAGACTGTCTTCTTAGGTTTCATTCAATTTTTATTGACATTTGGTTTTGCTACCAGTTAAGTTGTTTGGGCATGTTATAGTGCATGGTACAGCACTGCCTTTTCCTTACTTTTCTTGAGTTCCTGAACAACAGGATGTTAATTTCTGTTTTGAGCTTTAGATGTCAATCTGGAACACAGCATGTTCCATGCTCTGTTGAAGCAATGAGAGTCCCTTAGGATCTCCTTAGGCACTCCTTAATGACTGACTCTGTGCAGACTATGAAGGTTAGAGTGAGTATGTGGTTCTTAGTGCCTCTTTCAAGGAGGTGAACCCTAATGTTCATTACAGAACTTGTTGTAAAGACTGGGCATACTAATGCAAAATCTGCTAAACATTGGGTCAGTAACCTTCTGGGCAGCCAGAGTGTTCACTACTGCTCAGATAGACCATTCCCAGTATCACAGCTGTGGTTATTTTCATTTTTGTTTGCTATTTGTGGTAGCAACACTGAGTATCCTGAAGCAGAAGATGTCGCACATGTTCCATCAGTAAGAAGTTTGTCACTTCCAGTGGAGAAGGTGATAATGAGCTGATACATGTGTGAACAGGGGAGACTTCTGCAGCTATACTTCCAGAAGGATAGCTGCTAGAATCACTGAAACACTGAATTGTTGAGGCAGTTTCCTTACTTGTTTCTGTCCTTGACTGATTGTTCTGAAGTCCAAAACGTTTCCTTTATAAACAGAAAAGTATCTGGGATGTGTAACATTACTGTAATACCAAATACCTTATGTTTTTCCTCCACTTTTGAAGCTTGCTTCATCAAAAACTAAATGTCTTTTTGTGTTTTCTTGACAAATTTACTGATTTTTCTGAGCAGTAACTTTTGTCAAGCAGTGGGATTGGGCTATGCTGTTGTAAAAGTGCCAGTTTCTGAGTTACCCCATATATCAGGCTGGCATTATCTGACATGTAGGTTTTTGCTATCTGACATGATGGGTTTTTACTAGCAAGACCTATGAGGAGGTGCTCTTGAGAAATACTTCCTTAGCCTGTAATAAAATGCTCTTCTAAGTGAGTTCAATACGATCAAAGGTACCAGCCTTGACTAACTCCCTATGTGACATGAGGTTTGAAATTCAAGGAAATTACATTAGATCACTTTGTCTTCTTTTCATCATTTTTACAAACCTATTCAACAAAACCTTTCTCTGTTGTGGGTGTGTCTTCTGTAGAGTCATCCTTATGCTGAAAGAAATAACCACTTTTTTTTTTTTTAACTGTGTCCTCCTACTGTTTACAGCTGGCTTACTTTTCCCTGTCCCCTATCTCAACTTTTCAAGAATTTAAAAGTATTTCTTCAGAAGACTATATAATACAGAAATGTGTATTTTATTTATATCTCTGGTTTAATTTTCTGTTGTGTTAGGTGATTCAATGCCTCTCTATTCAAACTGGCGGTTGAAGGTGATGGAGCACAATCAAGGAGAGCCTCTACCTTTCCCACCTTCTGGAGGTTGCTGGTCACCATTGGTGGATTATTTGCCTGAAACTTCTCCTCCAGGCATGTCACTTCACAGGTAACTATTCTGGCAAAGTTTATGGCAATTCATTTTGGTTTAATTTGTGTTGCACAAATTGAGTAATTTGAAGATAGCAGATTAAAAGACAGTAGATAGTACATTTGTTTTCTCTGGGTTTACTCATAGGTCTAGGAATTTAGGATTACTCAACCTTTTAATTTGGAGGACAGAAGTTTTTCTGTCTTAATTATGAATGTTCATCTTTTCTCTTCTAACACAACTTCATGAATTTTTATAGATTTAAGAATGAATACAGACTAGAAGTGTGTGAAGCTCTTTGCAGCACTTCATAAAGTTCATGTTACATTCTTCTAACTACTTTTTTTTGTTTGTTTTAGATGCAATATAGCAGTGATTCTTTTGACGGACTTGATAGTTGACCACAGTGTAAAGGTGGAATGGGGAGGATATTTGCATCTTTTGCTTCATGCAATTTTTCTAGGTAAATAACTTCTTACAGAAATATGTATAGTAATTTAGGAATTCTTAGCTGTTCTTTTTGATATTTAAATAATGTTTGCCCTTGTATTGAAATCTCATTAATGTCATAATATTTAGAGTATTTTAAGAGTTCAATTAAATATCTTTCAGGGTGATTAGTATGAATTTTATTAAGTTTTTTTGGAGTTGTTTGAAGGCACTTTCTGTTGGATTTAGTTTTACCTCTTCCTCCTTGTAGACACAGTAAAATTCAATTTTTTTCTTCCTGTTTCATCCAGAGCACAGATTAAGTTCTTACTTAAAATCACTCTGTACTTTAACCCTGCATGGGATTATCATATATTTTTTCGGTCTGATCAGGATACAGTTTGTTAAACTGTATGCTCTTGTTTCTATATTGAAGCACTGAAAAAACATCATTTAGTGAATTATATATCTATTATTTGGTAAAGTATAACAGATCAGTTTGAATTCTGCAGTTCTTTACATAATGTAATTCAGTGTGCTCTTTGAATAAAATAAAACCTTTCTGTTTTCCTTTTGTGTTAGGTTTTGATCACTGTCATCCTGAAGTCTATGAGCATTGTAAACGACTACTTTTGCATCTACTGATAGTGATGGGATCTGGCAGTAATGTCCAGTCTGTTGCTTCTGTCCTACTCAGAAACAGAGAGTTCAATGAGTCCAGGGTGCTTACTGTCAAGCAAACTACCCATTTAGATTATACTTTCACAGGTATGCTTTGCTTTTGATTTATTATGTCTTGCTTGTTAAAATGACATGGGAAGTTATCTCTTCTTCTAGGCATTATTAAAAATTCTCTTATTTTTAATATCTTATCTTAGCATTACAGTGTATTTCTTCGTTTTTTAATGAAGTCAAAATGAATACAGTTCACATTAGCATTTTGTGCCCACTCATCAAAGTAGGGAGCACAGTTGAATGATTAAATAGTAGTGGAAACCAAAGAGGGAGCTCTGTGTTTTGGATCTTTAGCACAGCAGTTTTTATGATGCCGTAGAAAATAAAAACCAAGAAAGTGCATTCCTTACTTGTTTATAGCAACTTGAATGTTTTCATTTTTGTCAGCTGTAATTGTATTGTTTATTGATTACCAGAATACTTTTTTGAGATACTAGCTTCTAATGTTCACAGTAACATTACAATATTGTAATTATACAGGACACTATATCTTTTCTATGTATCTCTTCATGAAGGGAATATTTTAATAATGAGAACCTATTGTAATTTTTAAAGAAATTTAAATAATTCTCTTTTTTTCCTGAAATGCAGTATTTCATAATAGTTCAGTAGGTGGCAGCATATTGCCATACAATCGTTCATCCTCTTTTGTTCACATCTGAAAGTGGTTTTATTACTAACTAAAAATACTCATCTGAATTGTGAATTTGGGTTTTGTAGCAACAAGGAATTAAAAAGTGTATAGTGGAAGAATTCTTTTATGTGAATCTATTTGGCAGAACTTTAATGGTGCATCTGCACAGTGATGTATACAAACCATTTCTTTCCTAATCTTTGTGGGTTTGGGTAAAGCTGTCTAATTGTGACACGATATTCTGCTGTTACTAAAACTGAAATGTCTGATAGAAACTACGGTAAAGTCAGCATCCAACATTTACAGCTAGTGATTAAGATAAGGTCTTCAGAGGTATGCATGCCTAGTACAAGGCATGGGCTTTAACAAAAAAATTATCTGCTCATTATTAGGAAGTAAGTTTCTATAATTTGTTTAAACTTATTGAGACGCCTCAGAAGCTGATGAGCTGTCATATTACTAGTACAAAATCAAACATAATACAATGGTTTTAAATAGGGATCCAGCAGTTCCCTATTGAAAGTCATATAAGTCATGTGAAGACTTCTCATATATCAGACTTGTTGATTTCATTGAAATTATTGCATCCTTTAATTTATTCTCTTTAAATTATTCTCATTACATTTGCTAAGTCAGTGATTTTTTTTAGAGGGCTGTGTTTTCTTTTGATATGTTTAATATTAACTGTCAACTTTAAAGCTCATAATTACCTTGTTTTTATTTCAGCAGGTGTTCATGATTTTATACCCGATTACCAGCCCTCCCCAATGACAGACTCAGGGCTTAGTTCAAGTTCTACCTCTTCTAGCATCAGTTTAGGAAATACAAGTGCTGCCATTTCTCAACTGCACACCACAATCCTCAACGAGGTTGACATTTCAGTAGAGCAGGATGAAAAAGTGAAAACTCTTATAGAATTTATTACCTCAAGGTAAGATATCAATTTGCTTTTTTGTCATGACATATTTTGTGAAAAAATGGCAACCCCCTTACTATTTAGCATTATATTGTCTAATTCTGTTTCTGTTTTGTCACCAGTAAGTGATTTTATGTAATACAACCTATAAACAGCTCTAACTTTCCATCACTTTCTGAGAATTTTGACCACCCTTTCCTGTCCCGAGTGTTTAAAAGTATTTTGCCACATTCTGTTCAGGTCTGTTATCTTTGCTTGCCACACAGTTCAGAGAATTCACTTTTCCATGTAAAGGATTAGGGCAGGGATACACTGAGATGATTAGGGAGCTGCAAGATTCACATGCAGTTTATGTATTACTTAGAGAGCTGACTGTTCAAAAATCAGGAATTTATCGGAAAAAGAACGTCTGTAAAACCACCGACACTTGTGCAGTTTGTGTGATAAGTGTTATATAAACTTTTAGGATGGTGCAGATCTGAAATCCTACCTGTTTCTCAAAGTGTTTGATACTTTTGCTTTACATCAGCCTAAGTTTAGAATGGTATGGTGTATCGATGGGAAGGAAGGATGTTGTTTTAAGAAGTGTATGATGGTGTTAATTATACTGGTTCTTTGTTAGATAACTAAATATTACCTAACAGAGAGTATCTTTTCCTAAATCTACCCTTTTATTTCAATTGGATCTGATCTATTTCTTTTCGTCTTGTCTTAACTTCTTGTATATTTGTGTAATATTGGGCAGTTGTCAAACTTCTTTCCTATTCCAGTTCTAGATGTTTTCTTTTTCATGGCAGGTAGTAGATTCTCTTGCAGTTAACCTGAAACTTCAAATTTAATTTAAATACTATTAATGACAAAGGCTATGTTTTATATTCTCTTTACTCTTTTTTTATATTTTTAGGAAAAGAGGCCCACTGTGGAATCATGAAGATGTTTCGGCCAAGAACCCTAGTATAAAGAGTGCTGAACAGTTAACTGTGTTCTTAAAGCATGTGGTATCTATATTTAAACAGTCTAGCTCAGGTATGTTGGAAAACAAATCAATGCATGATAGAGTGTCCAAGTCTGCAAACTAAATAAATATTTTTTTAATGCATGTAAACATACAGGTTATCTATAAAATCACTCTAGGTAATTGTTTACCGCTTCTAAATAATAGATTTTTCTTGTGTATTAAACGTTTCAGTTCATGTTTCTGTTATGACAGATTTAAATATAATCTTTTAGGAACGAGATAAAATATCTTTTTAATTTGCTGTAAACACTTAATATTCAAGTCATAAATACTTTATTCTCTGGAGGTCTTTCCAACGTTAACTATACAAGTTTAATATTCCTGTAAAGATTTTTGAAACTAATAATGCTTGAGATAAATGTGGAGGATATGAGGGAGTTTTAAATTTAGGAATGACTTTGGCAATTTACTCTTCAGTAAATTCAAGTGGATTTGTTTTTTTATAAAGCAGAGTGGCTTGAGTATTTATTTGCTTTTGTAGGAGGATTTCAATTGGAACATCGTCTCAGTGAAGTTGCTTTGCAAACTGCGCTTTCGTGCTCCTCTCGGCATTACGCTGGGAGGTCCTTTCAGATTTTCAGGGCTCTGAAGCAGCCTCTCACGCCATCCACGCTTTCTGATGTTCTCTCCAGACTAGTTGAAACTGTTGGCGATGCAGGAGAAGAAGCTCAGGTATTTGAAATTTTCCCTCCATTTTATTAGAAAGCTAAGTCTACCTAAATGGCATTCTTGTATTACTAGTTTATTGGCACCAAAATTTGAAAGCATTGTTTTGTTCAGTTGCTTTTTATTTTTAAATATTTCAAATGTCAAAGCAGTTTTAATCGTGATTGTTTCTGAATTTTCACCCAATTAACTGATGAAAAGATGAGCACATTCTCCTCTACAGCAATAGTAACTTTCAGAGAGTTTGATCATCTCTTTCCTGAAAACACCTTCTCTTTCATTGTTGGAGAATACTCAGAGAGCCATATAGAAAATAATTTAAGTTTTCTTTAATTAAGAACTTAACCTGAAAAAGTGTTAACAATCATTCAGTTTAGTGTCATTGTACATCTAAAGAGTGGATCTGATCTTGTAATTCTGCAAAATGAGTGTCTAAATAACTCCATCCTTCAGTCCATCCTTAAAAATAATGTAAGCCAGAATAAATTTGGTGAATACTTAGAAATAAATGGAAGGTTTTCCTTGTCTTGGAGGTGTACTGCTAATTTGAGTCTCATCGGGATTGTGTCCTAATTGAAACCTGAAATAATTTACTTACTGATACTGGTTTTTTATTTTTATATTACTACTCAGTAGATTTTCTGTGATATTCCTTGTTCATACTGCATAATTTATAATGGCTTGTGGCTTTCCCCAGGGTTTTGTCATAGAGCTGCTTTTGACTTTAGAGTCTGCTATTGACACATTGGCTGAAACCATGAAGCATTATGATCTGCTTTCTGCCCTTTCTCAGTAAGTTCTTTTATTAGTCAAGCTACATTATGCATATCTATACATTTGAATTACTAAAAATCTGTATTAAAAATGTCATGAAATATTTTCTTATTTTCTTTGCAGAACAGTTGTATATCCATATAGCGAAATTGCTTGCTCTTGTATGTTTTTATCATTCTGCCCCAAGCAAAACTTCTAGATTTCCTGAAAAGGGTCTTTGCTACTTTTTCAATTCACCCTCTTGGGTCCAATTTAATTTTACAGAATAGATGTTCAGCATGTTCCTCATGGCTCAGTTCTTAAATGTGATCAGTTCTTCTGAAGCTTCTCAAAAATAAAGGCACTGCAAGTGCTAGTCTGTCTTAGGCCTCAGGTTTGTTGTCCATATATGAGAAATGTAATTGAACAGTCTGAGTCATTTGTGTGTCTCATCACTGCTGAAGTGATTAGTTCAGTGACTTTTTATCAAACTGAAAAATATCCCTAAATCTACAGACGTCTATTCTTTGTTTGACTTCCTTGCAAAGTTTTTGAAAACATTGGAATTTCTTGGAATATATTCAGTTTCTCAGTATGAGAACTAGAAGGTGTTGGTTTTCCTGAGTCAAATACTTCAGACAGATACATGGTAATAAGTGAATTATTAAATCATTAATTTCTCTACTTTTATCGCATCTGTAAGTAAGTTAGGCTGCTAGCTAATCACTTACAGGTAATCTTTTACATGCTATAGGCTGATTTTGCTGCATTTTGAAATTTTTTTTGTATTCTGGGATTGTAACAAATAGATGAGGTAGAAGAGATAACAGGAGGCTGAAGTCTTGTCCTTATGTTGTAAGGATATTTTAATAACAGATAGAGAAGTTTTGTATTTATATATATTATAATACTCCTATGGTGATGAAGCAGAATATTCACTGCGTGTGTGTGTATGATTAGTGTAACATATTTTTTCTTTCCTCCTTTTTACTAAACTGTATGTTATTAAATTATTTTGCATGAAATAATACATAATGTTGATTTTTATTTTAGAACCTCATACCACGATTCTGTAATGGGAAACAAGTATGCAGCTAATAGGAAAAGCACTGGACAGATAAATCTAAGCACAAGTCCCATTAGTAGTGGCAGTTGTTTGGGATACTACAGCAATACCAGGAGTAATTCCTTGAGACTGAATTTAATCAGTGAACGGAGAGGCGACCGGCGACGGAGCAACACACTGGATATAATGGATGGAAGGATAAATCATGGTGGAAGTTTGGCCAGGACTAGAAGCCTTTCCTCCCTGAGAGAGGGAGGGATGTATGATGTGCAGCCCACTACTGACCCTGTCAACTTGATGGCCACTATATTTTGGATTGCAGCTTCGTTGCTGGAGTCAGACTATGAGTATGAATACCTTTTGGCTCTCAAGCTACTCAACAAGCTTCTTATTCACATGCCTCTGGATAAATCAGAGAGTCGGGAAAAGATAGAAAAGGTGCAGAATAAACTGAAATGGAATAACTTCCCAGGCCTTCAGCAGCTTTTCCTGAAAGGCTTTACTTCAGCGTCAACACAAGAAATGACAGTTCATCTCCTCAGTAAACTCATCACCATCTCCCGGCATGCTTTGGTGGATCCTTCTCAGTTAGCAGGTATCTTTTGTAAATATGTAATTTTTTTTTTTTCCCATCAAATTAAGTGGAATCAAAATCAGTAATAATTAAGCATTTGCCTTAAAGAAAGACTTCAGTTAAATGGTTTTTGCAGTTGTCGATATTAATCCTGCTGGATAGTGGGAATACATTACAGACTGTGATTATCTGACAAGAAAGATTGCGTGTAAACTTTATGTATTGACTATTGCTTACGAGTGAGTTGTAAGTGTATTATTACAGTGTATTATTTTTCATGATCTTGTGCTATTTCAATTAGTACTATTTACATGTTTTTAGAAACAATGTGACTAATTCCTAAAACTATCCAGTTTCATGGTAGTTTTGCTTAATAGGTCCAGTGATGAGTTTATTTTTGTACCTAACACAGACACATTTATATATATGTTCTTCCTACATACACACTTAGGTATGTGTATATATAATTTATATATCTATGTGAATGTATGGGTCATGCTGTAGAGGTTTTAAATACCAGATAACTCCACATTAAATTAAGTCAAATTAAAAATCTTTAGGGCTCATATAACTGTGTTTATGTATGTGTTTAGGATTTCCCCTAAACATCTTGTGCCTGCTTCCTCATCTGATACAACATTTTGATAACCCAACTCAGTTTTGTAAAGAAACAGCTGACAGGATAGCAAAGGTATGTAACATGATGCTTGGAAAAGTACCTCAGAGGTTATACCAGCATTGTTTCTGGTTTGGCTTTTTTTTTTTTTTTTTTGGCTCCCTTATGTAATACTTCTACGTGATTTTAATAGTAATATAAATAACTATAAAAGGTTATATTTTTAAAATGTGATCCAGTCCTAATTTGTATAGCTGGACCTCATACCAACCCCTGAGTTTCTGTTTGTCAATGAAAAACACATTTAGCTTATGTATAAAATTTAGATTTCAAGAACAAATTTTCTTATTAACGATAGCGGTTTTTCACTTGTCCGTTTTTTCCATTTGTCATTTAAAATGTAAACCTAATTGCATTTGAAGCCTTAATTTATTTCCTAATTTACTTACGAGACAGAAGTGATCCTCACCTTTCGGATTAGTAGATGGAGAAGACAAGGTTGTGTATCCTTTCTGTTACTTGTACAGAGTGATTAATCCTGAAATATTTCTGAACTGCAGTGGCTGTTAAAGCAGCACATGGTGCACACCAGCAGTCACCAGCCAGCATGGTGTGTTGTGCTGGCCTGACAGTCTGCCTTTTAAGGAAGACTGTGGAAAGGGGAATAGGAAGGTGCTGTCTGGCATAGGAGATGGCAGTCACAGGCCTCTGGCTGCCCAGACTGTGATATGTGAACCACTAAGCTGTGCACAAGCCATCTCAAAGGAATAAGTGCCTGATGCAAATCCAGACATTACTGCTGTCCCTGAAATACTTACGTTACTAAAGCTAGGGGTACTAGTTGGGGTTCGTTTGGTATGATTGATAGATAAACTTGGAACATGGATACCACAGTAGTAAAATTTAGGAAAAACTGTAGGTCATGCTTGTGTGCGTAGTTCGATTTCAGTTATTAGAAAATGGAGTGAAATCTGGGAAAAGTGCATAATGACTTGTGAATACTTGGATTAAAAAAATTTTAATTTCTAAAATAATTAAATATATTTTTGCTTTTCAGGTTTGTGCTGAGGAGAAGTCACCAACTCTTGCCAATCTGGCTCATATGATGAGTTTATACAGTACACACAGCTACTCCAGAGACTGTTCTAACTGGATTAATGTAGTGTGTAGATATTTGCATGACTCCTTCTCAGATGCCACATTTAACCTCATAACTTATCTTGCAGAGGTAAATTTTTAATAAAAGTATATCTCATGTTGACAATTCCTTGCCAATTCATTATTTTTCGTGATTCTGAATATTGAGGGCAATAAAGCACATCTTTCATAATGGGAAAATAATACTAAAATGTTATAGGATAGAAAAGGAATGACTACTGCCATTTTGGAGTACAGTAATTTAAATGTAACTTGCATTGATAATCCCTCTAATCTGATGAAAGAGCTCCTTTTGTGATAGGAGTGTTTGGCAGTAGTTATTTGTGTTCTGTACTACATGAATATACACTGTCTTGGCCTTAGCAAAATACGCCTTAGTGTAAATTTTACGAGACCTTTTTTAGCCAAGGGCACATTTAGAGATGTCTTTATCACAGTTTAAAAGAAAAATTGCGAAGTTCAGTTGTAAATATTGCATAATATATAAAAGATAAATTACTGAAATTACTGTATGATTCTGCTAACTGTTCATACAGGAAAACTGTTCTTACCTTTAAAAATATACGTTGTGTGAAAAGCTTGTAGAGCTTGTCCTTGAAGTGTATCATTTCAAACTGATGAAGAGATTTTTAAAATATTTATTCATTCTTATGAATGACTTTATATGTACTTCTTTTGTTCATAAAACTGCGTTAACCAACCTTCTTAAAGACATTGCTGCAATTGTTTTTCCTGCAATTTTAAGGTTTTGAATTTGTATGAACATTTCTGTTTAGTGAGAAGTGTTTTATCGTTAGGTGCTTTAGATCTGTGTTAACAAATAAGTCAAAATTCAGGGGAAAAATTAATCAGGACAAAAACTATTGCATTACTGGTTTTTAATGCTAAAATGAAGGTTTGAAAAACAGGAGGTTGTACATTACAGTTTCTTGAAGGGGAAAATAAATGTGTGTGGAAGTTAGCTATAGTTTAATGTTTGCTTTCACTTTTTGTTCCCATTAAAAGCCCTAATTAAATTTTGTGTTTTATAAACTTTTTTTAGCTGTTAGAGAAAGGGTTATCCAGTATGCAACAGTCCTTGCTGCAGATAATTTACAGTCTTCTGAGTCATATTGACCTATCCACAGCACCAGTGAAGCAATTTAATTTGGAAATCATAAAAGTTATTGGTAAATATGTTCAGGTAGGTACTCTGAAGAACTGTAAAAGGCTTTCTGCTTATTATCAAAGTGGTATCAAAATTATGCTTGAATTTGGGGCAGAATTTATTTCAGATATAAAAATAGTTGTTTGAAGTAGGATTCCGTAGGGTTTTTTTCCCTATGTAGTTTTTTCACTAGATGCTTATGTATTGTCAAATGTGATTTGTATCATGTAGGACAAGTTACCTGGTTGAATGTGCATTTGTTCACAGATACAGGCAACTCCTCATCTGCAGTTAGAGAAGATGATCCTTCAACTTTTTAAATATAAGGAAATGTTTACTGCTAAGCTGCACAAATGTTTTATTTATGTGTATATGTTTTAAAAAAGAAAGCTTTATGGTTAGATGCGTATTTAAATGGCTTTCAGTAATACATCTGTGAGGAATGTTAAAGTGTACCTTAACAAAATTGAGTGCATTTTTTATTAAATGAAGTCCCCAAAAGATGAACCACGTTGTTTTGCCCAAGGTAATTTGAGCCTTTTTACTTGGAACACAAATTCACTGAAAACCTATTTCATGGAAGAAAGTCTAGCATTTTGCTGAAAGATTTTATAAAAATGCCTGGAGCATAAAACCATCTCAGTGCACAACATTCTCTTTTTTTATCCCCTCCTTTTCTTTTTTCTCTGAATTCCATTATTGCCAAATGCATTTCAGTCAAATGGTTTAATCATAATTACCAGGAAAAGTAGTGGTCCCTGGATGTTTTGTTACTGATGGATATGTGCTTTAGATATTGTGCTCCTGTCAGAGTACATTAGGCCAAATGGAATGATTAGCATTAACTGTAGTTTTTATGGCCTGGCAGCTGCTTGCTTCACCTCTAGCATTTATCTGAGCTTTCTATGCAAGCCCACACTACCATGGAATGTAATCTTAATTAGAAGATGTAAGCTCTCAAAAGAATGGTACTAGTGAAAAAATATTCCGAAGAAGTTACCTTAACTCAGGCTCTGCCTCTCATAGTCTCATACTTCTTCCCTGGCTTTTTCTAAGAACTCCACTGGTTTGACACCATATAAAAACTTTGGAAACGTTTTCACTTTTTTAAAGATCTTTTATATTTCCTCATGATTTCAAGCACAAAATAGTTTTGTTTGTTTCAAAATCAGTTTACTCTATCCATAATGAAAAATAATTGCAGATACCAAGAGGTGGAAGTTTTTAAATACTGTCAGGTTTTATCTCCTGGGGCATGAAGGGCAGATACTTCAGGCAGTGGTAAAAACCAGTGTAACTATAGGGACTGAGGGACATGGGAAGAGCCTGGTGTGGCTGGCACCATGACCTGGAGCTAGTGAGCCTGCCTGGCTGGCCCTGACCACCCACATGGAATGGCCTGGTACCTTGCCGTGGCTTTCCTGGCACTTTGAGATCTGAAGCTTCTCACCTGTGCCGGCACCTTCAGCCACGTGTAAAAGATGACTGGTTTTGGTTTGGGGATTCTTGCAAAATCTTGCCGTACATGAAAATTGCTGTCTTCTTTGAAGTGATTGTTTTGTGATTTGTGCATATTCTCTTTAGAGTCCATATTGGAAGGAAGCCCTTAATATTTTGAAACTGGTAGTGTCTCGATCAGCAAGCCTTGTTGTGCCTAATGATATTCCGAAGTCTTATGGAGGCGACATAGGTTCTCCTGAAATCTCTTTCACGAAAATTTTTAATAATGTCTCGAAGGAGCTACCTGGGAAGACCTTAGATTTTCATTTTGATATATCAGAGGTAATTATTACATTTAAATAACAATGCAGTAATGACTTGCTGTTGCAAACTCAGGTGTTATTTTCTGTTAGCCTTCTACATTTATATGTTTTAAAATAAGTATAATTTGTAAGAGTGGCAGAAGTTGAAATTTTTCATACTTGTAATTAGAGTCATACAGGAAGATAAACTTTTGAGTTCTTTTATGTTGTGTTTTTGCCTTTTCTCCCTTTTGAATGTCTGGAGAGTTAATTACTAGAAGTCAATAAGATTATTCTCAAGGGTATTTCAGCTGTGTCAGAGAGCAGAATAATGCAGATGGCTGCTACTTGCAGCTGAACATTCCAGGCTTTCAACAAATGAAGGGTTGTGCTTTCAAGGACTGAGAGGATTAAAACCCTGGACAGTTTTGGCATGACTTTGGAAGGGGGAGGAAATATAGAGGAGAGAGTAGGATACAAAATACAGGAAATTCAATGTGAGAGGGACACAAATGGAAAAAAAACTCCTGTGGTTAAAACCACCACTCCTACCCCCAGTAAGGGTTCAGTAGAACTGAGAATAATTCAGCTGATACTCATTCTGTGTCTGAAAAGGGGAGTGGCCAAGTGACTGCAGGGTAATACAGAGTTGTGAAAATCATAGGAACTTTAGAAGTGATCAGAAGTAAGGGCTTTTGATTGAAACTAACCCCAGATAATGATTGGAGATACAGATGTCTTAAGAGCATTACTTGAATTGATAAGTAAATTCACTACTGGAAGTTTCAGTGCATGCAGATAACTGAGAGACAAGATGAATTCCCACAGAGTTCAGTGGATTAGCATTTGCTGTCAAAAGAGCTGAACTTGATCTTTGGTTTTTCAGAAGTGTGCATGCATTTGTGATGTTGCTAGTCTGTGAAAACAATTTGTTAATGGCAGGGAATGATTCTATAGAGAGACTTTGCATCTTTTTAACTTGAAACACAGTTGGTTTTAAAGTGTGCTTAAAAATACAGTTTGATTGTCAGCATAAAATGTGCGTAATTCAAAAATACACAAGTGGGCAGAATGGCAGCTTGCTGCGTAGGGTACAAGTATTCAGCTTTGTATTTCCCAGTGTACTGAGGCTCAGGGGATTAGACATGGGCTTTACAGAATGCTTACAAACAGGACAAGCCCTCCTACATTTTATATAATGCTAAATTCTAAAATCAAGTATGTATTCTTTACTAATATAAATTCGAATTTTAAGAAAGTGTTTGTTGTCTTTGCCAGACACCAATTATTGGGAATAAGTATGGTGATCAACACAGCGCAGCTGGTAGAAACGGCAAGCCAAAAGTCATTGCTGTCACCAGGAGCACTTCTTCAACTTCTTCAGGCTCCAATTCAAATGCACTAGTTCCTGTCAGCTGGAAGAGACCACAGCTTTCTCAGGTAAATTGTGTCTCAAACTCTTTACACATATATTGGAGACAGTTTATGAATGTATAAAAAAACCTTGCTGAAGTGTAATTTGAAGTCCGCATTGTGTCTTAATAAAGCAGTAAATGAATACAGCGTAACCTAAAAGCTAATACTGGTGAAAAGAAAAATGTTAAGATTCTTTTTAGAGGATTCAGCATGCAATATGACTAGTTAAAAATGCAGATGTCATGTTTATGTGATTGCCTTTGGTATATTTTTCAGAGAAGGACTAGGGAGAAGCTAATGAATGTGCTTTCTTTGTGTGGTCCGGAATCTGGTCTTCCCAAGAATCCTTCAGTAAGTGGTGATGGTGATTTGTTTTGGTTTTTAAACTCAAGTAGTGGAATGCTATTGCATTTTTAGGTATTGGTGAAGTTGTGAACAGCAGGTTTTGACAAACTAGTTTCGGTTCAGCAGTTCACAAATCCAGTTGAAAAGTTAGAGATGGAATCATAAGTAATGAGTTACTGTTATTCCTCAAGAAGTCCAGTGGGCATGGTTCTTTATTAACCAGGATTCAAACCAATATTTAAATTCATCCAAAACTACTGTTGCTGTCTCAGTGACTTTAGGTCAGTGTTCTGGCGAGGAGGGCTGTATGTTTTGCCCTGGTATTATCAGTATAGTTGTACTCACGCTGGCTGAGTGTAATGCCATTAAATGGCAGGAAGCAGGATACCTGACTTTAGGAGTTACAGAAACTGGAAGTTTTTATTTTTATTTTTATTTTTATCTTATATTTTCAGGTTGTGTTTTCTTCTAATGAAGACTTGGAAGTTGGAGATCAACAAACTAGCCTAATTTCAGCAACAGAAGAAGTGATTCAAGAGGAGGAAGTGGCTGTAGAAGACAATACCAGTGAACAACAATTTGGAGTTTTTAAAGACTTTGACTTTTTAGATGTTGAATTGGAAGATGCAGAGGTGAGACCTTGGGGTTTCTTCTGTGTATTTCCATTTGAGAACATTTTAAAAATAAGGTTGTGTTGGTGCAATTCTAAGAAATTGGTAGCTCTGCTAACTAATCCAATTCAGAAGAATTTATGACATGATTGAGCTTATCTAGATAAAGAAACCTATGTCACAAACTTTGCAGTGATAAGTTGCTGCAAATTGTTGGGTGGGTCCTGGGAGAAGAGATGAGATTTTTTGGGGGAAGTTAAGTGGAAGAAAGTGAAGTGATATGACAGTATAAGCCAGTTACAGCATGAACACCTGGGTATCATACAGTAGAAAACTTAATTATGGAACAATATGTGAAGAAAATGGCGTAATTTTTGTTTCTGATATGCTTCTGGATTTTGAAAACATGACAAAAGGCTTTCAAAGGGACAAACTGTATGATACACTATCTCATCATATATGACTGACTTGCTCTCTATAATTGCTTTTACATTATATCTGGTTCAGTTCTTACATTTCCTCCATTTCTCCTCCTGTCAGAAAGAGAGAGGGGAAGTAAAACAAAATTAATCCTCAATATTAAGTACTGAGATATAGTAAGGATTCTGTTAACAATTGTTACTTGCTTCAGACCAGAATTTGCTGAAGCTTAAAAATATGACTGTAAAAGGACAGGAGAGGAAAAAGCCAAGTGCATTGTAGTTTCTTGCAATGGTTTCGTTAGTCTATGCAAAATATTGAATTACAATGGACACCCTTGCTGGTCGTGAGTCCACAAGCTACTAAGAATATCTGCCTGTCTATACTTTTCCAGATTTATCCAGCCCTCTTTACAAAATCCTGGGTTTTTTTCCCCTAATACTTTAGTTTATCTCAGTTTTCTCCTGCTTCCTGTATATTGCCTCACTTCAGGTGATATTTGCACCTTCTAGGAAAAGTACAGGCTCATTATGATCCATTGCATAGATGTAACCACACACTACACAGGCACAATTTCCTGTATTTAATACAAGTAGTCAAAGCAGTTCAGAATTGATGCTCAGTAGTAGTAAAACATTATTTTAATACTAGGCAGGGCTTTACAGGTAGGATGCCAAAAGCTGGAAACTTGCCAAACCAAGTTAACCTTTAACTTCATATTCTGTATTATTTTAATAGCAGATCATAATTAAGAAGAAACTGTTTCTTTCTTATTACTTACCTGAATGAAACATGTAGTACAATACTCAGAAAAAATTTAAAAGCACAGACTGTACATATGCAAGGTGTTACATATAAATTGTGCACTTGATATAAGAGCTCTGCCTAGTTTTGCACCAAAAATATAGAATATTCTGTATTGCTAACAATTAAATGTCAACAGTATGAACTGGGGCTTTTCCATTAAAATCTGAGTAATATTCAGATTAATCTTAAGTGCTTCAGCCTACAGTAGTAGTACTTTGTTGTAGCTGGAATTCTTTTGCTTTGCCATAACTTTTCATCTTTTTTTGAGCAAAAGAAATCACTAAGAGAGAAAAAGACTACAAAATATTTAGTTTGCTTTGCATACTAAATGCATCATGATGAGATCTTAAATCACCACAAGATACTCTGTTGGGGCAGTTTTTGGAGCCACATTTGGGGTTAGATGTGGCATTTTAGTAACTCTCTGTAGACTGGTAAACTTCACAAATGAATTGTTTAAGGTTGATAAAATGCGTGAGAAAATCAAAGATCATTATTGTCCTTGAGAATTAAAACAACAGTGTCCTAAAGATATGGCTTTCACTTAGTACGGTGGTTATTTGAAACCCAAGTATCTCAGCTTTAAAATGTGCCAAGAGAATGGATCCAGCTATTGGTGTTCAGGGGGCACTTCATAAAACTGACACAAAGTAGCTGGTAAAACAGTTAATGACAACATCGTCTTTTCTACACCGTGTATATAATTAATGTCGGTGGTGCTTTGTCAGTTGGATGTGGTCAGTTTAGATTCATGTGTGTTAGTTGAAGAATTCCATCCATGTTTGTTGAAACAGTTGCTTTACATGTTACGCTAGAGAAAATGTATCATGAGCATGCTGGTTTTAGTGTTTTGTCATCAGTTTGTTTATTTTTTTAATCAATCTCTCATTAGAAAGAGACATTAAATACTAGCTTTTTGACTAAAGCTTTTTTTCAGAGCTTGAATCAGTCTTTTACTGTTGGCAAATCTTATGTAATAAAACATTTTTCCCTGGTTCTAGAGTATCTTTAAGTGTTTGTCCTCGTTCTTTCTAATTATATGTGTTTTCCTTTTTGCTAACCAGGAGCTGCAGGTAAGTTGCAGCCTGGTGCCCTGGCTTGTTCATCTGTTGTTGTCTGTGATGTGTTTGTTTTTCTAGTCAGATTATAAAATCAATACTGGTATAGTTCTAGATTATATACTGATTTACTTTCCAAGAAGATATTCAAAAGATTTTTACTTCATTTGCCATATATTTTAATTTATTTACAAACATTTAACAAGGTGTTTAAAATTTTAATAAGATTAAAGGGCTGATTGAAACTCTGTTCATAACACATTCAGTACTTGTGTTTTCTCTGTTGCATTTGTGTGTTAATTTAATTATGTTGAAATTCTTACATACATACGTATGCAAACTTTTTTGTTACAGGGTGAAAGCATGGACAACTTCAACTGGGGTGTTCGTAGGCGCTCTCTTGACAGCATTGACAAAGGAGACACACCGTCCCTTCAGGAATGTCAGTACTCCGGTAGCACACCGAGCTTGAACTTGACCAACCAGGAAGATACTGATGAGTCTTCAGAAGAAGAAGCAGCGCTGACTGCAAGTCAGATACTGTCTCGTTCGCAGATGGTAAGTGATTTTTGGATGTGGCACTGAGTGCCGTGGTCTAGTAACCACGGCGGTGTTGGATCAAGGGTTGGACTGGATGATCTCGGAGGTTTTTTCCAACCCGGTCGATTCTATGATTCTATGATATTTACATGAAAGGAGTCTGAGAACTTAAGCTTTCCCTTGCACTTTTAATGGATAAGTGTGGCTCACACTTTCAGCCTAAGTGACATAATGAGGAACTAAATTAATGTGGCTAAGCTTCTTTCTCATAACAACATCAGTGAAGGGAAAACGTCATGCCACCACATTGGTGGTACATAACAAATTTATAATTCTAGTACAACATTCATTTTCTTAATGTCTCTACACACACTATTAATACTGTCTGTACACCTACTATATTACTTTACACTTATTAGTTTTGTTTAAATACAAGCACAGAATTGCATGTGTTACATGATAAATTTGTGTCTTTGTGGATTCCTAGCGCAAAAAACCCCCCAGATGCTAAAAAAGATAAAGAGTATTAAGTGTTCATGTGGGGGTCTAAGTTGTGTTTAACCACAGAGATTGCTAATTTAATTATGGATTTTGAAAACCTGTGTACATATAAATGAGGAAGATCAAGAATGTTGGCCTCTCAGAAATCTCTAGTCATTACATAAATGAATTTATGAAAAAATTGACTTGATGGAGAGCAGCTTGATGGGTATGTTGCTTTTCAGACTTCAGCAAAGTTTGTATTAATATTGCCCCCAATAAAGTTCTCTGCTATTCAGTGGTTTTGGTCTAGCATTTAAGCAGTGCCAAAACCCTGCAAGAACAAGAAAGGAAATAATTTTCCTTAATAGAAAAACTTCTTTTCAGAGTTAAGTGTTACAGAAATGCATGTGATGCTTGTAATGCTTTTAGTGTAAAGCTGTTAAATTCATAATACATAAGTAAATTCAGATAGATAATGATGCTGAAACAGCCTATTTCAAAACTAATGCATTTTCCCCCTGTAGTTTATATGTTTACTGTAAAGAATTTCATGTTTCTTTCTTTTCTGTCCTAGTTAATCAGTGATTCTGCCATAGATGAAGCAGTATCAGATCATGCTGGTTTATCACTTCAGTCTCAAGATTCCACTAGCAGTGTGGGAACAGAAGAGGTGCTTCAAATCAGAACTGAGACCCCAAGTTTGGAGGCTTCTTCTCTAGATAACTCTAGCAACCAGCTGCCTGAGGTGGGGAGAAATGTGGGCTGGTGCATGGCTGATTTGGGCTCCTTCTAGTTTTAGTAGCAACTTCGGCTTTCTTTTCAACTGAATTTTCATCTGTTACACTGATTAGTTGATTTGCTTTTAATATTTCTAACCTGTTGGCATGTTCTTACAAAATGTTTCCTCAGTATGAAGACTGCTTGGATGGACTGAGGGAACTTACCACAGGTTAAAAATATTATTGAAGGGCTGATTGTGATCATGTCATGGTGCAGAATGATATAGGCTAATATTCAAGAGGCTTTTACTTGATATGGTTGAAATCCTTCTTGAGCAACATTTTCTTTCAAATACTTTATTTCCCTTCTCCCCCCACCCCTCCTTTTTTTTTTTTTTTTTTTTTTTTGCTTTCTTTGGGTTAATGTGATTGGTGCTATATGGGAATAAAACCTCAGGCCAGCTGTGTTAGGAGTTGGTTCCATTAAATAATCCTTTAAAAAGGACTACAAATGCTAGTGGTATACTTTTTTGGAAAGGCCCATGTGGACTGAGACAGTTTCAAGCTAATGGCGGCCTGCAAATCTGTGAGTACTTCAGTTTATTGTTTTTTAATCTTTGGAATAATTTAAAATTTAAAAAAATACTCCTAATTTAAAACAAAACTCTCACCTGCTACAGTTTTTCTAGAATTTGAAGTGGTTTGGTTTAGATGGACTTTCTATCTCTTCTGTTAAAATTATTTATGCTACTGGCAATCATATTTTTATTTGGATAAGCATTGCTAATCCCATTTTTAACAATACATGCAGTTCAATTGAGTTTTCCGGAAAATTAAGCCATTCCTATGTGTATTTGACTAACCAGTGCACTGTTTACACTTGAGTCTTCAGCTATCCTGGTCTAAACTGTCTACTGACTAGTTCAAGTGCCTGGGGTTTCTAAAGAAAGGTTTGCATTTTACCTGTTCACTAACTAGAAAAACCACTTACTGATAGGCAGACCACAGACGCAGCTAATATTTAATGAAGAAAACTGTAAGAACAAAAGATGTATTTGGAGTAGAATAAAGGGAAAGTGGCTGGTTTCCTGTGATAAAATCCTCACCTTTTAAAGGTGTAATATTGTGACTTTATGTCATAAAGTGCTTTTCCCCACATTTCTTCATAGTTTTTTCATTATGATTACCTATGGGCTTTTTTTATAAAGTTTTTTATTACATTGCAGTTGATAAATTGTCTCAGCTGTAGTAGAATACCTGTGCTTAGGTTGTCCAACAAATTGTCACTTCGTAGGCTTGTCTGCAACACACATTGTTGATCCAACAGAATTTTAGGTGGTGAAGGACACTTAACCTGGATGAATTTTTTGCACATAGGACAGATGTTTTAATTTAAAATTTCAAAAGCAAGAAGCAGTATATAAGTGGAATTTTATAGGACAAAATTAACCACAATAGAACTTTTGTCTTCTCCATCATTTGCTTTTGGTACATTCTCAGCTATAACTTGTTTTTACATTTTCATAGCTCTTTCTGAGAGTGCCCTGCCCTTACAATTCATTGTTCTTCTGCAGCTCCCGTTATAAAATCACTATATTTCTATAATCCATGTGAAAATATTCACACCAAAAAAAAGCACTGTTGTCATCAAAAAGTTTTGAAAACATTCAAACTGAGCTGAAAACTAATTCCATGGCTAAGCAGCATTTAGAAAAAATTGCTGTATATATAAAAAAGAATACTGCTAGTGCATACAAATGCGTTCACTAGATGTGATGTGTATCCCAGGTTTATTTTGTGCTTGTTAGAATATGAGATTTGGAAAAATACTTGGGTTCTCTTCAAGTACAGTTCAAACACTCAGAATGTTTGCTAACTCTCTACAAGAGTTAACTACCTGGTTGGATTTTGTTTCTAAAAGAGTGAGCTGGCTCTGTGCTTTTTAATAGAATGAGTTTGAAAATACACTATTAACTCACTTTGAAATACTTTTGACACCAATAAAACTGCTTTTGTTCTGAATTCGTATACTACACAATTCATAGCATAGTGTAGTTGTTTCTTCCTGTTCTCCTATACTTCATATATAAAAACTCTTCTAACACAAGCCATATGTATGCCAGCTGTCAGTTATCAAAATATTTTTAATATAAAAAATATATATCAAAATTTATCTAAGACAATATGAAAAAAAATGAAGCCATTATTTAAAAACAAGAATGGGCTAGTTAGATGCAGTTGAATTCCTTGTTTCTCTGAAATGGATGCTGACCAGTGAAGTAAATAGTTTACTTAAATGTATTTGGCTGATTCCCAGTAATAGCATGTAACTTTGCAAAAAGACATTTCACATTCCAGTTGAGAATTTACAGTCTTGTTTAGAAGAATATTTTTAATTTTGTCCAATAAGTTTTACAAGCTTAAGTGTGTGAAAGTTTCTGACTAAAATAATTCTCTATTTTACTCACTTGCCCTGTAGATTTATTGAGAGAATGGTTTGCTAGAAGTAATTTACCTAAGGCTCTGTGGTATTGTTAATTTTGTAACTATATAAATCACCTTTTTAAGATATTCAAAAACATTCCTGTTGGTAAAATCATGTCCAATGATACACATAAAACTTTGGAAAACAGGAGTCATGTCACTATGAAGACGAACTTGGCAGTAAATTTCTTAACTAGTAATATGCATATTTTAAAAAAGTGTACCCCTCATATGTACATCTACCAGCCATGACCAGTATCCTGTGTTAACATCTACAACAGAAATGGACCATTGGTTCAGTCCAAATTACTTTGCTGTGGTTTTTGCAAAAGTGTTGTGCATTCCTGTGTGCCTTAGCTGCTCAGTAGAACAAAATGGCTGTTCTGTGCAATAAAATTCCAGATTTAACTTTAACAAAGGAAGCATTAGAAGGGCAGTCACTAGCTGTATCAAATGACAGCAGTGTCACATCAAGGAGTACCACAGTGGAAGTGAGATATGGTTAGGATCACTGTGCAAGAAAATTACATGGTTCTGTTTAAAGTGGAATTGTCTTTCCTAATACGTGTACAGTTATTTATTCTGTCAGAGGATCTGTTTTGATTGATGAAAACCACAAAATGATGTCTCTGCTTAGAGGCTGACCAAAGGTTTGTTGACCAGCCTTGGATATACCTATAAAGGAAGATCAGCCCACTAAGAATGAAAATATGTGATAATTTGTGCCTTTAGGAAATAGGAAGTGTTACTTTTATTCTGCAGGGAATTCCAGTTAAAGGTTTCAGATGAATTCATCATAAATTAAATAAATCTGAATTCCTCTGTACAACATAGGGATGCTAATGAATATAATAATGCTAATGCAGGAAGTGGGAAGGGAGAAAGGGTCATTCTGATATTGCCTACCTGAGTTTAATCATCTTCTCTCTGGAATTGCCAGTGATTAAAAGCCTACATTTAGAGATTCAGGGTTAAACCCTTAAGCTGCCCATATTAGAAGTAATATAAAAATAATAAAAACAGTGGAATGTCCCTTTTCCATTGTTCATCTATTATACTGTTGTTCAGTAGTTATGCTTTAGAAACTTGTTAAAATGGAGAGTGGAAAGGACAAGAAATGTTCTGTACTCATTGTAGACTCCAAAGGCAAGCACGAGGCAGTCGTTTTGATCCTTACCTAGAAAAGTAAAATACAAAAGTCTTGGTTGTGTTTGATCTCAGTGTTCGAAGCTGTTTGCTTATTTTTCTGTCAGTATTCTCTTAACAGATTTAAATGAGTGTATTTGAGAGATTGTATTTGCTCTAAATAAGTCACATTCTAAGATATTAATGTTTACCAGAAGTTATAAGCATTACAAATAGACTGCTTGTCTTTGCTCAAGTAAAACTCATGAAGAAGGCAAAGAGCTAAACAGTTAAAGTATAAACCCTGAGACGTGCTCAGTTGGTTAGTGCATGGTGCCAGTGACTCCCAGGTCATGGGTTTGAGCCCTGTATGGGCCATTTACTTACGAATTTGACTTGATGATCTTTCTGGGTCCCTTCCAACTGAGAATATTCTGTGATAAATGGATGTTTGCAAACAATTTTTAGAATACATAAGCCCTGACAACAGAAGTAATAAAAGTATGTGTGATTCACAGGAAGGCAGTTCAGCAGTAAGGGATGAACAGGTTAGCACTGCTAGTGAAGACACTGGGTCATATCTGCTACACGAACAACAAGACTGTCTGGTCTGTCACGAATCTCTGGAGCTGGAAGAGCCCCCAGAACTGGTAGAGGCAGCAGCTCCTGAAAGCTATTCCGAGTCTGTCTGTGAAGAGGATGTCACTCTTGCCTTGAAAGAGCTAGATGAGAGATGTGAAGAAGAAGAAGCTGACTTCTCTGGTTTGTCTAGGTAAGATTAATGTTGGTTATAAGTAAAAGCAGTTATTTGTTATCGGTACATGAATCAAAGAAAGTAGACTTTCTTCTGGTGTGGAGTTTTCCATTACTCTCCACCATACAAGGATATAAAATGTTGTTTTCCATATCCAAAATAATTGGTTGATTTGTTTTGCCTGCTGTAGCAGTTCAGCTCAGTACTTTGCTCGAGAGTTGTTTCTGGTATAGGTAGAATAGCTGTGTGGGAAAACACAAGAATCCTTGAGTAAAAGAAATCTAGCACTTTTCAGCAGCAGCAGCAGTATAGAAATGTGAAAAAAGGTCAGAGGGTGTTTTGGCCCATTTTCTTGGCAGGCAGTAGCTACAAGCAGTATAACATGGAAAAGCCCTTGAACTGCTCTGAATTATGGCACCACCCAAAGACAAAGAAGAACAGGGGAAAATGTAATTTTTTTTTTTTTTTAAGAATCAGAGCTTCTGTAGAAATGTCAGCTTGTCTTGGGTTTATTTTCATTGTGTTAAGATTAATTAGTCTCTTGTATATTTCTAAAACATTTTAAAGTAAAATAACGTTTTTCCATTTTAATATGGAGAGGAAAAGTTAAAATTAGCCCTAGCTGATTGAGTCGTATTTAAAATGAAACTCTAAGTTCCTTGAAGGTAACAGTCTAAGAAGGAGTGAAAACAAATAAGAAACCCCAGACAAACAAATAAAAATTCCAAATGAAAACTGCAAACCAAAATAAAATAAAAAAATCCAAATTGTTCTTAGGCTTGTTCATACTTAAAATTTGTTCAGAAGTTTAAATTGAATAATACAAAGACTTGGTTGTATATAGGAATATAGACTTAGCCAAAATTTGTTATAGGTATTGGTGCACCATCTGTTCAGATGAATAAAGATTTGAAGAATTGAATGTTAATTCAGTTATTGGGGCAAGAAAAAAAAGCCAGTTTCTGAGTGATGTGTATATATATATAGTGCTGTATATAGTTACATATAACCTACAGATAGCTCTTTGTCTGTAGTAGATAAGCTTAGAACTTACAGGTTTTAATAAATTTTAAAGATATTTGAGAGAATGTGCAAATTTTAATATTGCAGTAGCAAAAGGTTTTGATTGTTAACTCTTTTCTTGGTTCACAGTCACTGTAGTTGATCCATTATTTATTTTACAAAATGCTACTCTGAATCCAAAATTCTTATTTTTTTTTCTTCTTACCAAAATGAAGGGGCTTTTTCCCCTAAAAAAATTGTTGAGGAATTAATTTCTGCTGTTTGTTATTTATAGCCAAGATGAAGAAGAACAGGATGGTTTCCCAGAAGTACAAACTTCCCCACCTCCTTCGCCATTTCTTTCTGCCATATTGGCAGCTTTCCAGCCAGTGGCATATGATGATGAAGAGCAAGCTTGGCGCTGCCACGTCAATCAGATGCTGTCCGATACAGATGGATCCTGTGCTGTCTATACATTTCATGTCTTCTCAAGATTGTTTCAGGTCAGTGAATTGCCAGTTCATGATCACTTATCTGAGATCCTTTCTTCCTACTTTTAAGACTGTTCTTCTCATTGCAACTGCAGAAGCCACAAGATTATGGTAGCAAGAAGCTTTACAAAGCAAATGAAAAGCAGACAAAAAAGACACAGTGCTAGAAGAATATTAAATTGTCATACACTATTTTTCCATGTGATATCTGATGTAGTTGTTGTCTTGGCGTGATTCTGCTCAGGAAATAAAAAGAAAAAAGGCTCAAAAAAACCCAGTTCAATGTTTCTTGTAAGCTCTTAGTTCAGGTTCTATGCCTTCTTTTATTTTTTGGACATCACCCAAGTTCTGTGTTGATTACAGAAAGAAAGTCTTCTTCCCGTACTTTTTGTGGGAATCATTATGATGGGATCACAGCGTGACAAACATTAATGAATTTATCTTGCATTTGTCTTGGTTTTTTTCTGCAGAGAAATAATTGAAACACCAGGAGATCCACTAAAGCTGGATATTTCAAATGCCTCTTTAACGTTATTTACCTCATAGATCTGATACCCAACACAAAATGCCTAGGGTTTAATTTTTCTGGCTCCCTCCTCCCTATATGTATCAGAGGGGTTTTTTACATCTTTGAAGTAATGATTCTTTCCAAATTCCTATGGGATAGAAGAAGCATAATTAATCCATTTTATTTACAGGCAATATGCCAAATGAGCTAAGAGCAGATTCAGAACTATAGACCAAGACCTTATGACTCCAGTCCTTTCTCTTCTCTCTAGTAATAATTTGGCCTGCTCTTTGCTATGTCATAATAAATAAAAGCCCCACACTAGCACATATTTTATCCAGCATGTATGGGCAGATTTAGCGTTAGAACCATGAAGTAACTTAAATCTGAAGAATTCATACTCTACCTTATCCATGGAGTAACTTGTTTACACATCTATACCCATTTTCCATTTTTAGTTGAACAGAGTATTTTTCCACAGTTCCATGAAATTCCTGTTACTGATTGTAGACTTCTGTCTTTTTGCTTCATCTGCACATTAGGGATTTGGTGTCTGTATTATACCAAAGCTTAGCTACAGTTGCTTTTCACACATTCATTCATTTCCTGGAACTGGAAAAACAAGAGGTGTTTGTGTTCATTAAAGAGGGAGCCAGGGAGAAGGCTGAAACATTCTGTGGCTTGACAGGATAGCCCTCAGTCAGCTTGAAAGGTGGATGGAAAAATGTGCAGTAGCAATCCAGGGTTCAAACATGGGCAAAGAATCATTCCTGAGGAGCTGTTCCTGGGTACAGAGGAGGGTTAAAATGATTAAATGACACTCTGGAGGCCTTATTTTGATTAAACCTTTCCATTTCTGGTTCCTATACTGTGTTTAACTGTGCAGCTGTAAATATAATCTTTATATAGTTTATTTATAGTGTGTAACTTCTAGGATTTATGAAATAATATGTAGCAGCACAGGATGTTATATTAGGCCAAGCTCATGGTCTGCAAAATCAAATATGATATATATATATATTTAGAGAGAGAGAGAGAGAGAGAGAGACATATATGTATATATATATAGGACTGATTACTGAAGAAGATAAAAACCCTGCAGTTTTTATCTATGAAGGTGACAGTTGTTGACACAGATTGTGCTATACAGGTTGTATGCTGACTCATAAAACTCTGTTACACACTCTCAGTGTATAATTTTCTGCAACACAAACACTTCAAAATGAATTGAACTACCTATACTGAATAAAGACAAATAGTCGTCCAGCTATACTGAGACTAAAGGCCTAGATGTGAAAGGAGTAGTTATCTTTAGGTAGTTATCTTTAGGTGCAGGATTGATAGCATTTCCTGGAGCTAGTTTTACATGAAAATTCAGAGCAAATTACATATTAGTTTGTCGTTTAGTGTTAAAAATACATGCTATCATGATGAAAATTTGCTCTGAAATTCTTAATCTGAAAAGCCAGAGGAGTAGTAAAATGCAGTGTAAAATAAATGTTTTTCTGATTTGATTTCTAGACCATTCAAAGAAAGTTTGTATCTATAACAAATGATTCAGTCAGCTTTCTTGGTGAAAGTCTACAGCGCATTGGAACAAAATTCAGAAGTTCTCTGGAAGTGATGATGATGTGTTCAGAATGTCCAACAGTCTTTGTGGATGCAGAAACGGTAAGAATCTCACACACGTTGGAATATGTGCATAAATGTTTTTATGTCACATACAAAATAACTTTTTAACCTTGAAAAAGAAAAAGAAACTCTTTGTAATTGAAATCATAGAGGAATTCAAATGTTAAGCGGCCCCTATGTATCATCAATATGTGAAAACACAGGTGAGAAATGCATTTTCTGACAAAATAACCTCCAGCTGTAACAGTGAACAGTGCGGGAACTCAGTGATAGTAGGTATCACTTCAATTCCCTTGCTATTTTTTGCCTTCCCTGCTTGTTCATGTTTATTCTATGTTGTCTGCGCAGGTAAGAAGAAGGAAGACTACTTCTCTAGCAGCAATTTGCCTTTTTGTATTGTGGTGTTTGTGTATATATTCAGTGATGCACGAGAAACATACAATGAAGACTTTGGGTTGCTTGTTGCCATGCAAGTTCAAATCTTGGTTATAAAAAAAAAAATTCAAGAAGTAAACTCAGTATTCAGCAGCAGTAAAAAAAAAAAAGCTATGCTAGAATTATTAAGAAAAGAGACAGCAAAATAAGAAACATTGTTGAGCGAAGGTACCTATCCCAAATATACTTTCATCCTGAATTTTTGGGCAAGTTCTGGTCCCCTGATCTCCGAGGAAATGCAATTGCACTGGAAAAGATTCAAGAAAAATCACAAGGATTATAAAATATGTAGAATGACTTCAATCTAAGATATGAGTATGCAGGCTAGGATTTTTCAGCCTTTCAGAAGAGAAATCTGTCCACAGATATCTAGATTATGATGGATAAGTGATAGAAATTATTTTATTATTGTATTAATTGATGTTAAGGATAATCAAGTTAAGCTAGCAATGACTTTTAAAACATACAGAACTAAGATCCTTCATGTGGTACATAAACTGTGAAATGCTGTCATTTTCTACAGTGTCTGTTCATGTTTTCAAAAAGCAGCTAAAGAAATTCATGAAAGAAATAGCCCTGGGTAGATTTCCTGTATATGTAGAACACCACATTGACAGAGGCTAAGAAAGCATTCTGGGGTAGGTGGGTCACCACATGCTTGCCCTTCTCTGAGCAGCTGCCATTAGACATTGTCAGCTGCAGGGCTGAGATAGATGGATCTTTGGCCTTGATTCAGTGTGGGAGTCTTCTGACCTGGTTTTTTACCTTGTGCTAAGGGGCAATTCTTATGCTCTCACTTAAGAATATGAGGACTTGAAAAGCATGACACAGAGAGCGTGTTTCAAGGCAACCAGATGTTAATGTTTTTTGTTTAACTTAGACCACTTTAAAGCAGTAGAAATTAACCAAAAAAAAGAAAAAAGAAGAGTTATATTAGTGTCTATCTAGAATAGTATGTGTCCTTTAAAAAAATAAATAATACATATATAAAAATACAAACATTAAAAGGAATAATGAATATAACATATATGCATATAAGCATTGACTTGTGTGTATGTGTACATGCGTATGCATGCACATACACACTCTAGTGTTGTTACATTAACAAATACTGTGTAAATAAATCTTTTCTTTCCAAATAATTTAATTGAAATGAACCTGCTTGTCAGATTACTTCTCACTGATAAAGTACAGAGCTCTTAATGTGTGCAAGGGATGACCAGTGTGAGGGAGGAAGCATCATATTAGAGGCGTGTTTATTACAGGAAGTGGCAGGAGGATGAAGAGGAAAAACCTAAGTGAAAATAAATCTACAGGGAGAAATGTTGTGGAACAAAGCTGAGGCAGCAGCCCCTGAGGGAAAAAGGGATTTTGAAACCATGTTCAAAAAGGCAAAGTCATTAATGGTAGAAAATTCTTCAGATATCCAGCAGTTCTTGTTTGGACGGTTCTGATTCTTACAGACTGAAGAAGCCTTTGCTGGTAGTATAGTTTGTATACTGAAAAGGGCAAGTAACCCTCAGTGGATGCTCCTTAGGTTGCTACAGGAGCACGCCAGCAGCAGTACGTTTTTTTCCTGCTACAGACTGTTCTGCTTTCACTAGTGGTGTGTGTATCAAATGCTCTTTTTTATGAAAGGTCAAAAAATTGCTTTGAAATCTCTTTCAGATGTTAACTCGGTACTGCTCTTCTTATTTTGGAATCAAAACTGTTCTTCAGTGATTTAACAGATAATCACACGTGTTAGTTCATTTGCTCAAAGGTGTCACAAATGATGTGTACCCATTTAATTCTAATTTGTTTTTCCAAATGTGGACTTGGGATTTCGTATTATTTAGTTTAGATATTAAACTATATATATTATAGTCAGTTGTTACAGAGCTTCAGGGGTGATTGCTTTTATCTTCCAGCTACTGTCTTGTGGCCTGCTAGAAACATTGAAGTTCAGTGTTCTAGAGCTCCAAGAACACTTGGATACCTATAATGTCAAAAGAGAGGCAGCAGAACAGGTGAGTCTCTTACATTTCAAAACAAAAATATTAGAACTACTTATCAAGAAATTGTTACAGGTCCTTGTCTCTCAAAACAGGTATCTAAAAGTAAACTGTGGGAGAACATTTCTGAAAATCCTGTTCCCTTTTCTTACTAGTATTCTATGCATATAATCTGAACCTGAGGGTTTTTTCTTATGTGTAGCTCATTTTTGTTGCACATACTTCTGAAACTGACTTCGAATATATATCATTGCACTAACAGTGGGAAAAGTGCATTCTTAATTTAAAAGTCCTCTTTTAAAAATATTCAAATATTTTTAACATGAATATCTATGAATTATGGTATTTCTTTCTTATGAATGTATTGGCTTATTTTATTAGACTAGAAGGGTAGGATTCACTGCCAGATTAAGACATTTACAGGTAACTGTCCATATGGGAATGAAGTGCCTTAACACCCATAGCATCTAACGATCAGGTCAATACATTAAAAGGAATCAAGAAAGCAATGCTTTTTATCCTAATATAAACTTTTTGCTCAACTGAATAACTCCTCGGACTTCCTCTTAATGACTGGATCTCCACTGACAGTAATGGAGGCTTAAACAGCTACGTCATATGTAGATGCATAAATTTAGGGCACATCTCACAGCTAGATCTCATTGAGGCTGATGTTTATGTCAGTTGTTTAGAATAATACAGTTTAGCTTTCAAGGTATATGTTAGTAGTTAAATCCTTTTTCCCAAGAACCGCAAAGTTGAAAATTTCTGTAGCAAGGGTCTGTATATTTGTTTTTGTGAACTTTAGTGTGAAGTTCAGAAAGTAAGATGCTAACTTCAGAAAACTGAAACAGGTAATGTTTCTATTTCAAGAGCCAAAAGAAAACATGGATCTATAATCAGTTTTGCAAATAGAGGGAGAGAGGGAATATATGAGCTGTTGTTGTAGAGAGATGATAATTCCTGGGAAAACTGAACATGCTGAATTTTACTGATCTCAGCAGCCTGATAGGCTGTCACAACAGCTGTGTACTCAAGTTTAAATGATGAAAAACAGAACCAGAATTCAAGCTATGATATCTTGGCAGAGCTGTATTTTGCCGCACCAGTAACTCCATGTTTCTTGATCATACTGAGTTTATTAGGAAATTATGGCCTCTGCCTTGCAAAGACTGCTGACAGCTCATCTGTTGAACAGACTAGACATCCACTTTTTTGTGGAAAGGATCTTTAAAGAAACACAGTTTCCTCGAAACCAATGCTAAAGTATGCCACACAGCCCTGTTAGTGTAGATAAACTGTTTCTAGGAGCCAGGCCAGCATTTCTGCTAAAGAGTTGCTGCATTTTTTTGCCTTATTTTGTGGTAATACCAATTTATTTAATCTAATATAGTGAGGTACATTTTGCCATGTAGGCTTAATCAGAAACAAAGTTCTCATCTAATGACTTAACACTGTTTTCCTTGATGTAATATTTAATGTCTGGCAATCTCCCAATGCATAATGCTGTCAGCATTCCTAAGAGAAGATAATGTATTTTATTCCTCGTTTTAGAGAGCAGCACAGAGGCACAGAGAGGCTAATAATTTGCCCCATGGTCAGACATGAAGATTTGAGGCAGGATAAAACGTGACTCATGTGTACTTAGAACGATGACTATACAAATATGGAGGAATTTTACATCAACTCTTCAGCCTTATTTATCATAGCAATAACAAATGCTATCGTTTGGTTGATTTGTCAAAGTATGACGAGTTAAATTACTTCCCTTTCAGATAGCCATGAATTCACTAAATGTATTTTTAGCTGATCTTGCGCTGCTGTGTATTATATTGACATAGGAACTTCTTTGTATTTTATTTTACTACGTAAACAAATATAGGTATCAGTTTGATGGCCTCTGTCATTATATCATAGTGAAGGAGTGTTGTTTTTCTGTAGTGGAGCTGTCAGAAGGGAGTCCAGTAACATGTTTCTGTGGTCAGCCTGTCTTCTGCCACGGGATTTGTGAGTGACTGGAGCAGGAAGAAGGTTCACAGGGTGAAAGGAATTATTCTGAAATAACTGACAACATTTTGTTAGGATTTTGTTTTTATTTAATAATTTATAAATAGAAAGCAGCAGTACTGCAGAAGAAGAAACTTTTAGCTTTGACCAATCCTCTCTGACTCTTGATAGAATGTCATTTAGATAATTTAGTGCATTATTTAACTGTCTATTGAGCATGTTAAATTAAAAGTAGTGACTAATTATCTCAGATAATTAATGTTTCTAAAACTTTTTTAGAAGTATTTCTTTAGCTGTTGGTCTTCATTTTTTTTGGTGTGTTTATTATATAGCAAGTGCCATATATAAATCTTCCAAAGCTCCTTCTTAGATTTTATCGGGTTTCTTACTCTGTCCTTCTAAGCAGAGTGTAGGGAATGATTCAGCGAGACTCCCTGAAGTAAAATAGGAATTTCTGCTGTTACAGACAATTGTGCTACATATCCTATTTCAATCTGAAAGTATTAAGGCAAAATGCTTAATGAGTTTATTGCAGATACTTGCTTTTTTCATAGAAACATGCAGAAAAATGATCAAACTAAGTGGTTTGGCTGCTGTTTAATAAAGTAAATATAAATTAACAGATAGTTAAATAAATGTAATTTGCATGCTAATCTGGTATCCTATAGAATCAACCACTGGAAAATTCTTTAATGAAAATTGTTGTTTTAAAGTTTACTCTAATAGAGGATGTTTGTCACTGTTGTGCTGTGTGGAGTACTAGCATTCACATGAATGAGATTGAAAAATTTAGAGTCTTGGGCTGCAGTTGCTTGAAGCTCTTACCTATGTACCAAGATAAGACAGAAGGGTACCTATTGTACAGGGTCTGGTTTAGCACATCTGTTTAGGGGTTATTCTGGCAAACCAGCCTGTGCTGTGATCAAGAGCAATCCCAGACTTCCTGTGTTGTGCTTTCAGCAACATTTCACCCTGTATCTTTGTAGGAGATATATGGGGAAAACATAAATTGATGTAAAGCTAACATATAAAGAAGGTTATTTTGTCACACAATCTACTGCTGTTCTCAGAGAGAAAATTTAGGTATTTCTACCATGCTGAACGTATATTCTGTAAAAATTCTTAGCATATTAATTTTGTGACCTTTTTGAAGCTATTGTTCTATGTTCTTGCAAGGGAACTGCTTTGACTTCATGTGTGTGTATTATGGACAAGGATACTGAATCAGATAAATGTAATAGAAAATATAAAGTTATATACCTTTCATAGCATTTTAGGCACACCCTTTATTCAGACTGGTTTTAAGATTCGAAAAAGATCTTAAAAGGGCAGTGTGTGAAAATAAATACTAAATTCCCAGTTGCTGATGTTATTTGTTCTAGTGCAGATCTATTCCATCATTACTGATGGACACTGTCTGATAAAGATAAAATGAGATTTGCTGTGTATGTTGGTATCCATGTCACTAATTGAAACTGGCACCATGGTGTTTAGGGAATTCCATTTCTCCTCTTGATAAGCACACAGGCCTAGTTAATTCACTAAGTAACCTTTATTAAATTGAGCAGATGGGAAATCACATTTTTCTTTTTCTTGCATCAGACAAAGGTTAGAAAAAGGTCACTAAGATTTCCTCTGAGACTCAAGATATCAAACATATGCAGTATGCTAAATTGTTTTTCCTTGGATGTATAGAGCCTGTTCTTCATTTCAGAAGATATTTTGCACTTTATCTCAACATGATACATTCCCATTTCAGTAATACACAAATTACCTCATGCCTGCAGTTGTTTGTGCTGTACTGAAAAATATGCTGGGCGCTGTCTCAATGAGGTGATCAGGTTGTATTGTCCAAGAACACAGTTAACTCTCTAAATGCTTTATAGTAACATGATATTCCTGTGAATGCCAGGACAAATGGAGGTTAGTTTTTGATAAATTTACATGATTGGCTAAAGGTAGAAGAGCTTGCCCACTGAATATAATAAATTTGTTGTCTGCTATAGGAAATGGGGTTAAATACAGCCCTGAGTGGAATCTGCAGGTTCGCACTGTGTAATGCAAGAATACGTCATTTCCTTGGCGTGTATGAAGTGGAGGGGATGCTAAACTCGCATTGGAGCATTTGGATTTTTTCTTTCCATCCAGTAAATCTGCACTTGCAACTGCTTACGCAGGAGAGCTCTATTTCCTTCGTTTCTAAAGTAGTCACAAGAAGTAGAACAGGCTTACTCTCTAATGTGAATTAGTGCTGTGTTTTAAATGCTGATAAATTATGTCAGGGTAAACCTTGTGCAGCAAGTAAAGAGAAAATATGATCTCATGTAATAAAAGGGGTGTTTTCTGCCTCCACCCTCCCACACGCCTCACTGCAACAGTATCCAAATTCAACAAGAGGTTAGTATTTCTGCTGAAGTGTGCTATCTCCATCGTGGATAATGAAAGAAATTTACAACAGAAGGGACACAATAAAAAATACAAGTGATATATCAGAGTGGATATCATTACTGCAAACAACATTGGTAAACAGTTGATTTCATATCACAACTTTTCATGTAATCTGAGAATGTGCAAGACTGGATGAAATGTCTTACGCAGTTTTAGCACAGTCTTCAGTGTGCTCTGTTTCGGAAGATGTTTAATCTTGATTGTATTTATTTTGCAGTGGCTAGAAGATTGCAAAAGAACATTTGGTACTGATGATGGTATTCATGGCACTAACACAGATGCCCAGGTAGGTGTATGTCATTTGTGAGTCTCAGGAAATGAGATTTAAAAACATCCCTATTGCACAAAAGTTCCAATATTTGTAGAGAGATTAAAAATGCATGAAAAGCGTTTCATTTTAGTTATCATCCTATCTTTTGGAAACTCAGAATCTTATGAAGTGGTAGTCTAATAAAAACAAGTCTTTTTAATAAAAGCTGGCAACCTTGGGTTCTAGACTTAATAACACTGAGTAGATAAGCAGACTAGATACCATCTGTGTACTAGCAAGTCTGCTTTTCTGCTGCTGTTTCTAGAAGGAAAAAAGATTAGCATTCTAATCATATGCTCAGATAAACCCAAAAACCTCTATGGAATTCAATATAATTAGTAATATATAACTACATAAGACCTTTCTGGAGCCATTATTAGGGTGAAGAGGAACAGGGAGTAAAGTAAGAGTATGGCAAAAAGCTCAAAAAACACTTCTGTCAAAATATCATCTAACAATAGGTGCAGTAACCTATTAATACTAGTTGAACATTTTCTATGTATCTGCATGGCAGTCATCCATGTTAATATTACTAACTGCTATGGGAAGTGATGGCTTTTCCCCAATGGACAAGGACTGGGTTTTTTAAAATATATAATAGCTGCATAACATTGACACTGTTGGTAAAAAAGCAAATCCAAAACCTGACATTACAAGGAATCTGCCATCTGAAGTCCTGTAATAAGAAAAGTGAAAGATGTAAGAAAGTAGAATTCAGGTAGCAGATGAACTTATCTTTTACAAAAATCCCAAATCCAAACTGAGAAAGGAGGAATTTTATTCATTTTATTCAACTTAACTCTATTCATTGATGCACTTGGTCATGTTTCTGCTGCTGAAAATATAATCTTCAACAACAGAAATGTCTGTGATGTCCTTGGACTATTTTTTCTTTTATACAGTTTTCTTTTGCTGTCATATATGTATGTATGTTTGGGTTTTTTTCATTTAATCACAAAATGCACCTGAATTTTTAGAGTAGTGAAACGTGATAATATGCTGTTGCTTTTTTTATTGCGTTGAAGTTGCACATTTGAAAAAGAAATCATGAAGATAAGCAGAGGTAATGCAAAACCAGCAAAATAATTTGCTACCATTTGCAAGGATTTTTGTCTTGCCTATGAACACACGGTTTAGTGCATTGTACACTCGGTTTAAATCTTTGCATACTGACCAGTACATGTTTAGAAATAGGAAGCAACATTTACTATTACAATACAGTAAATGTTATATTAATAAAAAAAGCAGCATTTATGTATTTCAGTCCATATTTATAATGTTGATTATATACACCAAGAAGCTGTTCTAACATTTACCATAAAGGCAAATGTTAGCGTTCCCACTGTACAGCTAGGGAAACTAAGAAATGGAAGAAAAGAGACAGGCAGGCTTTCAAATAGCTTGTACAGAGAAAATCCAGGATTCCAAGTGAGGCAGTTTTGCTTGTTCTTCCCTGTTTCTGCAGGGTTTGAAGACAGCCTCTTAAAAAGAGTTTATGTGACCATTCACACTGATTATTTGGGGGATCTCTTTTGATTTTGGTTTTCAATCCTAGCCTGTGAGGCATGCTGGGAATTGTTTATGTGCTGCTTGTACTTGCAGGTTCAGTTAAAAACATTTCAATATATAGTATCCATTGAGAAGGCAGAGTCCTCTTATCCTGCTTCGTAAATACACACTATTTACAGAAGTTCTAAATTTGCTCAGGAGGACAGATATTTTTCAATCACTAACACAAACAAGATTTTCTTACTGATTTTTAGCACTGTGGTCCATACAGCTAAGAAATAGTGAGATTAATTCTGTTCTGGCTTGTGCATTGCCAGCAGACCTGCAAGTAAATCTAATTATTCAATTCTTGCTATTAGTACACACAAGCCTGAAAGAATGCACCTGGACTCTGGCTAGACTGTTTCTACAGGACAGGCAGGTAGAAAAATCAGATTATTTCTCAAGTAAGCATATATGTGAAAGACACTGAAGCAGCACAAAGACATTTTTAAAAGAAAACCTCTCTCAATTTTTTAAAAAGTAGCTATCAAGGTGTTGGGGGAAAGAGATTAATTATGGCTTACAGTAATAATGAGACTTGGCTTTAAGAACACTGGAACTTAATGACTAAAATTATTAAATAGCCAACCCAGCCATTTCTCAAATCTGATTCTCTGTGCTTCATTAAAGTTAGTCATCGAATTCATATTGACTTCAGCAGTTCAAAATCTTGACAGTGTTCTGTGCATCAGAAGTTTTTGCTTATATAGCAATTGTGCCGTGTATGTAACAGCACGAAGTGCAGAACAAAAGCATGCAGTGTAACACAAACATGCAGTGCTATAGCCTGTTCATCACATCATAGATAATTTATTATACACATCATGTACAATCATGTGCTTAGTAAAGCTCAACTGCTTCTGTATGTTGGAATCAGACATCAGTTGCATCTTCATATGTTTCGCTCTCAGGCACATGGGGTGGGTGCAGTGGGGCTGTCCTGTGCAGGGCGAGGAGTTGGACTTTGATGATTCTTGTGGGTTCCTTCCACATCAGGATATTCCATCATTTGTTCTGCTGTGACCACTGAATGTGCTTAAATGCCAATGGCACACTTAGTGCTGTACAAAGCACAGAAGTTCATGTCCCTAAGTCTGAGAAATATATTTTCTGATGATTTCTCTCCCTGTCCCTCTTTCCCAAACGTTTTTCTGAAATAGCTTTTAAAAACCAAGTGCAATTACATTACAGATATCTCTCAGAGGTGTTGAAAATTGAGTTTAGCAAAGCCAGGAATTTTCTAAACTGAATTCAGAATCTAAATTAATGTTACATTTCAAATTTTAGAAGGCATTATTTGTGCTTAAACTCTAGTAGTACAGAACAAGTAAGAAACGTACAGATGTCCAGATCTGAATGTCTTTGATTTTGGTTACCTTAAATTTGTGACCTTTCAGATTACACAATGTACAAAGACCAGGGTTGTGTGTTACTTATGCTGTGGGACATCAAAGCCAGTGTTATCTATCTTAAGTTATAGCTGCAAGTAGTTTCATCTCAAATTTAGTCTGTTAACTTGTTACACTCAGGGTGTACTTGAAGCATGTTACTTGTATTTCTTCCTCCATTTTACCTGGGACATCTTTTACCCTAATTATAATTATTTCCTACACTAATTCTTGCTCTTTTTTCTTTCTTTGTATTTTTGTGACCTGCTCATCTTCTTGCTTAGCAAATGGAAATTCTAGCAGTAAGTGATGGTTCTTGATTTATCAAATATTTAACTATGCCAGTCACCAAATTGTCTTCATCTGTCTCGTCCATTTGTGAAATAATGGTGTCTTGTCATAGACTATTACAGAAATGCTGTGTGCTTTAATTTTGCATCATCTAACCCATTGAACTGTTGGTCCTTTGTAGATAATAGGATCCCGCAGATAGTAGAACATTATAAAGATTATTCCATCAGCACTCGCCTTTATGTCTGTATGTAAAGCAGTATTAATACTGTCTGCACTTTTGACTAGCTTTTTAGATACATAAAAATGGAAGCAAGACATGTATAAGTTAATGCTGCTATTTCATTGCCTTAAGAATATATGGTGTGGTATTTTCTAAAATAGAATAAAAGCTATCTTTTATAAAGGAAACTATTTTTGCCTCCAGGAATAGAATTATTCTCCCCTAAGTCATCAGGCAGTGTAAGCTAAGGGCCATACTGTGCTTATACAATAGAAATACTCATGGTTATGAAAGACTCCATACTTACAGACCACAACTGCATCTTATGGATATTAGATTTTGAATTTAAAACAGTAAAATATCGATAATAAAACTGATCTATGAAACACTGTCTTGTTTTCAAGACATGAAATCTTGTAATGATCCAGACATTTCAAAATGCCTTTTGAATCACTTCACATCCCACCCCACGCCCCTTCTTGGAAAATGCAACTTACTAAAAAGTAAACCTTAAATCTGTGTGAGAGGGGCTACCTGTAAATCCAGAACTCAATGAAGTTTCATCTGCTTTTCATTAGCTTCTTGCTATGTTAGCTTCTACATAATTTTGGCATTTTCTTTAGTAACCAAGTACCTACTTTTAATTTTGCATATTCTATACTGAAGAAATTGTGACTTATTGTTTCTTGTATTGGATAGTAGAAGTTTTTCACTTCCTCAGTATAACACTGTTGCTTACTTTTGTAGGAGCTGGAGTTGTGTCGGAGGCTATACAAGTTGCATTTTCAGTTACTGCTTCTGTTCCAAGCCTATTGCAAACTCATCAGTCAAGTAAAAACAATCAAAAAAGAAGCAGAGGTAATGAAAATCATGCCATTTAGCTTGTAGTTGTTGACATTTTAAAGTCAAACAATTTAAAATACACTTCGGTAACATTTTAATCAGTGGGACATCTTTTTAGAAACTGGAGGAGGGTACCAGCTGTTTTATAGCAAATTATTAAGAGATTTAAGTAGACCTTACAAGAACTTTCTGAGATGTTCAATTATATCTGTGTTGATTTTTGTACATCTTCAAAGCTTTTAAAAAACCAGGAATGCGGGGAGTCCAGTGATGAGGATTTTAAATATTTCAGTAGTGCTCCTGGTGTATTCTAATCAAGATACAATCAAGGCATATCACCTCCACTCAGCAGAGTTCTGTGATGAAGCCCCTTTCCATCTTCCTGGTGTTTCCTATTGCAAACACCATCACTTGCTACCGATTTATTTAACTGTGTCACTGCAGCCACCGTGCAATTCCTCTGCAATCTTCGTTCCCATCCCAAACATAGTTAGTAACATGTTCTAGATGTTTTATGCCTGATTTTTAGTTGTAGTAACTTCAGAAGTAAAAGGTGTTCTTTGGTTGTGCATGTGGTATGCACTTGAAGTTAACTGAGTTAATCTGTATGCATTATGCTATTAAAAATGTCTTCTGAAAGTTCTCCCCTGGGTCTGAAATGCAATAAACAGAGGTAGCAGGGAACAAAATAGGCTGGGTCTTCCTTGACATAGTAGTGAGGAAAATGAAAAAGCTGGGTGAAAGTCTTTGGTTTATGAGTAGTGTAGGAAAAAAGGTTGTTCCACATATTTTTGTAGAGAATGTAATCAGGTTTGTTTCTGTTTGAAGAATGTTGTGGAAGGTTGGCATCACATCAGTCCCACTGCTTGCCTAAGTTAGTCAGATGCAGAATCATGTTCTGAGAGATGCCCTCGTGTTTTGCTCACGCATTGATGCTAAAGCCAAAGACAGTATTGTTATATACAGGCTGCATTACAGTTCCTTTGCTGGGTTACCAGTCATCTTGATTTTTTCTCCATATTTAAGCTGTCCTTGTAGTAACACCATTGCTGTACTTTTCTGTAGTGTTTAACTCTTGTCATTTTAATTGATTAAGTAATGTAGGGAGAAATATGTTTTATGAAATTAAAAGAACTAGGAAGGAAACATCATCAGGGAAAAGCCCAAATACCTAACGTGGATGCTTAGGCCATTAAATTAAATTAACTGTATAATTGAACAACTGCAGCAAATATTTGGGTGTACTTTTTCTGTTTCTCATTCATTATTGTAAAGGAGGGGGGAGGGAATGTAAATCTGATCTGCTGAAAATTAAATTGGCTTAAAATAATGTTTAAACAAGAAAAGGTAACTTATACTCGTTTTAGGTCATAAACATGTCTGAAGAACTTGCTCTATTGGAGAGCTGTCTGAAGGAGGCTGAGGCTGCGTCTGACAGTGGTATTGAAGAAGTTGAAATTGCAGAGGCTTCCCAAGCTAGCACAGAAACAGCTATTCACTCTCTCATTGAAACCCTGAGAAACAAAGAGTTTGTGTCAGCTGTAGCACAGGTCAAGGCTTTCAGGTAAGTGCTTAAGGATTGCTTTCAGATGTTTCTTAGTGGACCTTATTAAATTAAAAACAGGGATAGGCACTATTCCAGGTTTTTCTCAGCTCTTGCTGGATGTCCTTTTCAAAAAGGACAAGCACTGTTGTTTCATTAAAGCTTTTGCAATTTAAGAACAAAAAGCAATACTAGTAGTACTTGTTCTTTAGAATTTATCTCTGAGAAACGATAGTTAATTATCAGGACTCTATGGAAGAAATATTTCTCTTGCATTTTCCAATGCCTTCTGTTCAAATGTCTGTTTAAAGAATATGTAAACATTTAATTTTTCTAACGTTTAAATCCATATTGTGTGTTTACAGATCTATTTGGCCCCACGACATCTTCGGCAGTTCTGAAGATGACCCAGTTCAAACACTGCTGCACATATATTTCCGCCACCAGACACTTGGCCAGACCGGCAGCTTCGCAGTTGTGGGCTCCAACCAAGACATGTCTGAGGCCAGCTCAAAGCTGATGGAACTTAACCTAGAAATCCGAGAGTCTCTACGCATGGTGCAATCCTATCAGCTTCTAGGGAAGATGAGAACAGGAATAAATCTTGTCAGCACTGGATTCTGAACAGCTGTCATTTAGAAAAGAACTGATGATGAAGACACTTCAGATTATTATTGAGCACCTTTCATGAAAAACATAAAAACAAACGTCCAGCAATCCTGACAACCAACGCAATTTTATCGCAGCAAGAAACTCTTTCATCAAAAGTAAAAATCTGAAAATCGAAGTGAACATCCTACTTGACTGCTCTTTCTACACAGCAGCCTGTGTGGCAGTAGTATTTTTTTATTAAATTTATCTATAAAAACTACATGAAAGGAAAAGGGCTTAAATGTAATGCATACATATGCATTATTTTCTGTTGTAACAGAACTCTAAATGATATTTGCAGTAACAGCCTCTACAGGTTGAATCAGTATCGCAGGTGGGATGAGGCTAAAATCAAGGCTGGTTTATTTTGGCTGAAGACCTGCAAGGCTTCCTGGCTTTTCCAGCAGTAGTAGATATAATCATCAACTAATACCTAACGAGACACTTTGCAACGTCATGAAGAATGTGCGGTCCAACATGAGTAGAATGACTTACGACTGCAAAAACCATTGACTTCTCAGTGTTTTATTTGCTTTTGTTGTCTGTAATAAGGAAATTATGTGTGTGAGTTAGAATGTATGGCTATGTGACAGTTTGTTTTTTGAAGGTATGGATGATTGTTAAATAAGGTCTCAGAGCATGCTTAAAAGAGCTGCAAGATTATTTTTGAAGAAATTTTATTTTATTAGATCTAATCCTCATAGTGTGTAAATGTTAGGACATTTAATAATATTTTCAACTGGGATTTCCCAGTGTTTCTAAAAGAAATAATATATCTGTTAACTTTATTGGAATGCTGCTCAGTTCTCTGACCAGTGCTTATGTTACAAATATTGATAACAACTAACCAAAAAGTAGCTGCCTGCAGAGACTTTAAAATGTATATTAAAGATATATGCTGCCCATCAGCAATTCTCATTAGAAGTTAACTTATTTTATTCTGTATATATTCTAGAAACTGTATAGTGCAAAACCAGTATTTTTCTTGTAAATTTGTGCAATGCACTGTTAAAACAGTAGGTGTATAAAGCTATGAGGGGAAGGGAGGTTCCCTCGTGGTAGTCACATGCAGTACTTGCAGTCTGAGTGGTCTGCAGGGTTTGAAGAGTTTGAATGCACGTATATGTGTCTTCATGACTCAACTGCAGCCTAAGGAATTGGGACTATATAGAAAGAAAAAATAAATGACTGACTACCAAAACATGCAAACAGGCAATATACTCATAGTTCAGTGTCAAAAGTCTGTAGCATAAAACAAACTGGATTCTGTTGAAACCAATAGCATTTTGTAGAAAAAAAAAAAAAAGAGAAAAAAAAAACAGGAAAAAAAGAATGTAGTCCCACTATTCCTGTGATTTGAAAGGAACACCCAGTATTTTTATATACATCTCTTACCCACTGTGATTTTTTTTTTTAATGGGCTCTAATTCCAGAGTTTAGAATGTAGAATTGAAATTCTTAGCTCTGCCTTTTTGGGGGAATTAGACCCCACTAGAAATGTAATTATGCTGAAATGCATTAATTGAAGGCACTGTGCACACTGTTGGACTGCTGACAGTAGTTATGTTATCCTAACAAGTTCTGTAACTGGTCAAGGCACATCCATATTCACTGTATTTTTTTTCCCTGTCCCTGATAAAATTGAATTATTTTGATGGTTTTGTGGTACTGTAGATGGTGTTCTTAATTATTTAATTAGTATTTATCAGGGATAAGTAGTTTTATTTAGGGGCACATTACACTTTTATTTACATCATCTTTTACCAGCTTTTTTTGTAAAAATAAAAGACATTGTATCTGTCATGTTGTGTATTTTTACAAGCTAGAGTTTAAATACTTTAGCTAACCAAACACTGACAACAGAGGCCTGGGTGCCCTGAAGTCATGTTTTTTTCCTTTTATATCCTGTAATTGCAGCAGCATTTTCCTAGGCATCTTCTGAAACTGTTAATGGATTTCTCATGAAACTCAAACCTGAATTCATGTATGTCATTCTTTATGCTTTACATCTTCCTCTATGTATAATGGTTAGTGGAACCTGCCCTATGGAGCAGAAGCACACCAGCTGACTGTCTGTGATATTGCTTTGACTTCGTGAAGCTTTTCAAAAATTACTCCTCAACTACTGCATAAACTGCCACCCTGCATTACCTGATGCCAGCTCTGTTCCAAATCTGAAGCTATGGTAAAGGGGTCTAGAAAAAACCAAAACATCAGAGAGCTCCAGTAAGATGCAGCAAAGATAGCACTGACTGAGCCAATGTGCAAAAGAATCTCTTCGTGGAAAAGCTGTACAGGGCAAGTTCAAAATATCTTTGAAGAACTGGCAGCATGAAGGCTGTTCCTTTCCACTTTGCATAATCACATAGGTCAGGAGTTGCTTCCCTTCTTTCTGCTGAGTCTGGGAACCAGTGCCCATGACACACAGTGCGTGCTGTCAAGGACATGACAGGGCAGTAAAGTTGAAAAGAACAAGAGAAATACAGCACTTTGGCATCGAGCAGTAAAAGCACTGAATATATTTATGAAGAGGGACGACATGTAGAGCTACTATGGAACTGAGCAATGCTATAGGATAAAGGAAAGCTTGTTTACTATGGCTGCCCACTCTACTCCTCCAAGTCACAAAACCTTGCAGTAGCTAATGAAAGCAGGGGTGGTGGCTCTTTTCTATCTGCCCGGGGAACCTTCATCAGCTGCTTGCTTGGACGAGTTGCTGAAGCACAAAGTAAGTTCACATCAGGTAGGCCTGTTCTACATCCTATCAAGCAGAACCAACTGCTCCTCTGACTGTGCTTAGTGGGGATGACAACCCTGAAATTGTACTAAATTTCAGTTTGGGCTATTACTGATAATAATCACATAAGAGTCACCATATTCACAGCAAGTAATCCTCAAAGCAATGCATGTGAGAGTACAAGTAGGAAGCACTTGACTGCTCATATTCCCATTAGTTGCCATATGACTTGATAAGACATGGCACAGAGCTTCAGTTCTCAGACTCATTATCCATGTGCACAGATTCATCCCCGTCAGTCTCTCACTGCATCCATCAGGAACAGACTAAAGCCATTTGAATGGGGAAGGCAAACAGGAAAATGTATTGAAGAACACCCTTAGAGGAGAATATGCTCAGAAGTTAGAAGACATCCCAGATCACAGCTGCAACTGCAAGCTGAGGCAGTGTGGCTGAATGGCTTGCAGAAAGGGCCCCAGCTGATTCCTCCTCGAGCTGGAGACTTGCCACTGCTCATTACAGTACCTGCAGGTGAGTACAAGGCACACACACCTACAGAAAGCTGCCCAGCTGCAGGTGTACTTTTCAAGTTGATTAGGGCAAGGATGAAACTTGCTGTGAAAGCCTGAGTGAGCTGGTAAAGCAAGGGGTATTTCCTTTTACTGTGATACAGGGAAAAATGCTTCAGGTAGAAGTATGAAATAAAACAACTTGTTCCCAGAATGCCTCATGCTGCTATAATAATGAACGTGGTAAGAATAAATAAAATTACTTGGCAATAAATTGGCACTGAGGCATTAAGCCTTAGTCACTGCAGCAGGTTCAAGGGGCATATTGAAATAAAGCAGGACTTTAGAACAAGATGAGTTAAGCCTACAGGATTAACACTCACTGCCCCTCACAACAGACATGTTTGTACAAGGGATATTGTTTGCCTATCCAGCTCCTACTTGGGGGATGCAAAAGCACCTGGCACTGAAGCTGTTAAACAGCACAGGCTCAGAATGGTTCTCCCTTTAGTCTTTAAAATAGTGGTCTCCAGTAAGTTAGGTACAGGTGTAGATAAGTTTGTAATAGCCAAGATAAATCACTCATTTCAAAGAGAAGCTACCTCTAGAGTTCTGCAAAAGGCTTTGTGCACTATGGTGTTTTATTTCAAAATTAGTGTTCAGTAGCATTCTCAGAAAAGTATGTTTTCCTCAAAGTTTACCTGACTCCTTAGCTAAAGGGGAGACTGGGGGTGGCAGTGTAGGTTTTAGTAGCTTTTGAATCTGCTCAGATAGTGATGCTGTAGTTAGTCCCAGTCAGCTTGTAACACTGTGCTGAAGCATGGTGTCCCTACAGAGGGCATCACCACTGACAGCACCAACAGCCCACAGAGAGCATCCTCTGGGAGTGAACAGTGCTGCTTCTGCCATTACTGCCAAACAGCAGGAGTACAATTCCGAGTTGGAAAACCAACCCCAGAAGAGTGTGGGAGTTTGATCCTTCCCTGATGGCAGGAATCTAAACCGTAACTAGATTAAACTCCTGAAGTCATCTATGCTTCATCTGTGGGTTGGAGAGGAAGCCAGGGAGATGCAGTATTGTACCTTGAGCCTCTGAAGTGTCACTTTGCTTGCTAAGCTTGCAAAAGAAAGATGAGCAACACATTTACTGAGAGACCATAACATCACTGACTCCCTTCCTTGGCATTTTGTGAAAACTATCCCTGAAAAGCTTTATTTGGCTTTAGTCTACAGACAAGAACACCATGTTAGCTAAATGCAGACCAGCTGTACCAATAGCAGTGGCCTAGTTCTTACACAGCTTTTCTCAATCATTTTCTAATGATGAAAAGCAAGTGCAGGATACTTTCTACATGGACTAGAAGTGGATACAGTAAGTGAATACTATTATGTGTTTAGTTCATGAATGATGCTCTAATACCAACTGTAGATGTTGATTTAATGTTAACTTCAAGTGTTTGATTAGTTCAAGAGTAGGAGCAGTAACAGAAACGGTATCCACCTGAGATTCTACAAGGTCCTGAGTCAGCTGCTTCCAAAACCATCATCTATTTACAAAACACTTGTGGGCTCTTCCCCTATGCAAGTTACAGGATTTACAATATACACCCTCTGAGCTGAGCACAAACCCACCTGATCATTTGAGTATGCTTTGCAATACTTTTATTTTCATGCTTTCCTAGCTACACCTCACCAAGTATCTTTAACAATACCAGCAACAACAAAAAAAAATCTCCTCTACTTGTAGTTTTCTAGAAGAGCCCCGAACAAAACAAGCAAAAAAATCCCTATCCCACTCAGATGATGTATTTGAAACTGAATGTGCTATCGCAGGAGAGGCGTTTCCCTTTGCATCTGCCACAGAGGTCCTGGCGGTGAGGCCTCTTGGGATCCACGTGGCGCATCTTCACGGGGCAGGTGCATCGCGTCTGCTTGCAGCTCTGAGGGAGAAGGCGGCGGTCGGGGAGGGCGGCCAGACCCCAGGGCCGCCCGGCCCGCAGCAGGGAGGGCCGTCCCTTACCTGGCAGGTGATATCCTCCACACGGTACGGGTTGTAGGACTTCTGGCAGGTCCGGCAGAACTGCCGGAAATAGACCTGGGGGGGAGGCCGGAGTCAGCAGGGGGGCGGCGGCGAGGGGGCCGCGCGGGGGCGATCCGAGCCCTACCTTGTTGGTGCCCTGGACGCACCAGACGTAGGCGCTCTCCCAGCGGATGTTGCAGGCCTTGCAGTGGTAGTACCCGTACTTCTGCTCCAGAAACTGCCAGAGACAACTGTTATTCGACGGGGCGGGCACCTCCCGGGCCAACCCGGCCCCGCTCCGCTCCCCCCCGGCCACCCCTCACCTGGAAGCGCAGGCGGGTCTTGCCCGCCGACGGCTCCCGCTTCTGGGGTGCGGCCGGCGGCTCCGCCGGCTCTGCCCGCGCTGCCTCTGCCGCCTCTACCTTCTCCTCCTGGCCCGTCTCCGTCTCCGCTGGCGGCTCTGGGGTGGTGGCCGGGCGCTGCTCCAGCGGCTCAGCGCCACCCTCGGGGGGCTTCTCCCAGCTTGCCCGCACGGCGGCCGCCTCCGCCTCCCGCTGCTCTCTCAGCGCGGCCGCCTCCGCCTCCCGCTGCTCTCTCAGCGCGGCCGCCTCCGCCTCCCGCTGCTCTCTCAGCGCGGCCGCCTCCGCCTCCCGCTGCTCTCTCAGCGCGGCCGCCTCCGCCTCCCGCTGCTCTCTCAGCGCGGCCGCCTCCGCCTCCCGCTGCTCTCTCAGCGCGGCCGGTTCCTCCTCGACGGCCGCCGCCGCCGCCTTGTCCTGCCGCTGCGCCCGCCGCTCCGGCTCCGCGCTCGGCTCCTCCAGGAAGGCGGTGAGTCTGCGGGACGCCATGGGCGAGTAGACGGCAATGGTGCGGGGGAAGCGCACGGCGCGGGTGCTGGTGGTGGCGGGGCTGCCCAGCTCCTGCTCCGCCTCGCGGGGCCGCGGCGCGGCGGGGCCGGGACGGCGGCGCAGCAGCGTGCGGGGCCCGAGCGAGCACTGCACCGAGGCGTCCTGCCGCGGGTTCACCTGCACGCCCACCTCCTTGGTGTTGGCCTTGCGGAGCCGCGGCGTCAGGTTGGGGTTGACCTGGGACAGGATGGCCTTCAGCTGCGCCCGCTGGTAGTTGTCGAAGTACTCGGCGGCCGCCGCCGCGTCCCCGTAGCCCGAGAAGTAGCCGCTACCCCGGGGCCGCCAGCCGCCCGCCGCTCCCCCTTTGCCCTTGGGCGGCGGGTAGCGGTAGGAGTAGGGGTGGTAGGCGGTGTACAGGTAGCTCGCCATCCCCTCCTCCGCCATCGCACCGTACCCGGAGTACCCTCCCTCCAGGGGCGGCCTTAAATACCCCCGGGGCGGGGACGGGCTTCCCCCGCCCCCGACGGGTGCCGGCTTTGT